ACCTTCGCCGGTGTCGTCGCCGTCGACGCTAGGGATCCCGACCGACGTCCTCGCCTTGTCCCTCCGTCACGCGCAGCAGGCCGGCGAAACCATGGAAGAGTTGCAGCGGCGAATTCACTCCGATTAAAGTTCAATTCGTCGTTTTTCGAGGTGATTTGTGGTTTCTATACCTTTCGTTAGCGTTAATTCATAGATTAGAACTTCCTTAGCGTATAATCTTGCGATTTGATTGAGGATTTGTGATTGTTGTGTTGAAATTATGGAATTGGTGCCTAGGAGCTGTTTCCGTCGTCTCTTCCGGTGACCCTTTGGCGACGGCGGCGGCGAGTTGGCCGAGGTTGGGCAGCGGCTTGGGCTTGACCTAATTGGATCCAATTGGGTCCAAACGGTTCAATCGGGTTCAATTGGGCTGTTTAGATTCAATTGGGTGCAAATGGATGTGATTGGACTATTTTGGGTTAATTGATGTACTGTTCGGGTTGTTGTGAACCACCCAACGGGGCTGTTTTGTCTGGCTTCGGGTATGGGCAGTCGGGGCGGCTAATGGCGGGGTGCCGGGGTTGTTCCGGCGACGATGGGGACTGCTCCGGCAGGGGCAGCGGGCTTGAGGATCGATTCCTTGGGCTCGATTCCGCGCAGGTGGGTTAACTGTAATTTGGGTTATTTAATTATGCATGACGGTAATAGTAGGTCTTTGGCCCGGATAGGCCGCTATATGATTTGTTGTGAATTGTGAACTGAGATTTAATTAAATTGATCTTATTGGTGAAAATTGTGGATTATGAATAATATATGGGAATTAGGCCACCTAGTATAATTAGGCGGACCTGAATTGGATTGACTGATTGAATCACCAATATGATATGGTTAGGAAATTGGCCATTGCGGGGCGTCGTCACACCCCCGGTGGTCTTGGGTTAAAAACGTACGTACGGAAGTCCGCGACCTGTCTTGGCATCGTAGGGACATGGGCTTCAACCCGCCCAAAGTGAATCTCCTTTGGGTTTCTGAGCTGGCCCTTTTATAGCATCGCTTGGGGTGCCATGACTCAAAGTAGTTGATGTGGAATTAAATAGGGACATGATGTTCAAATGGAAGATGTTAATATAAATATGTTTATTAAAGCTATTTTTCTCCGTGATCATATGATGTTGTTGATTGTATGTTAATGTGGTGCTATTCTGTGAGTTAATGCGGGCTTAGGTATATTTTCACTCAGCGTTTCGCTGAGCGTGTAGTCGTTGTTGTTTGACTGCACACAGGTAGGAACACAGATTTGGATGGGCAACCCGGAGGGCAGCGAAGTGGTGGTGTGGTGTGGATGGCTCTTGTTTACTTTAATAATTAAACTACATTATTTTATTTGATTATATGGACTGTTGGACGTTACTTTGGTTTTCTTATGCTTCCGCGACGTTTGGATTTATTTAATTATTCTGATTAATTTGGGTTTAGTTAAAACTCTACGGACGAATTTTATAATTGATTTAATGGCCATTTTAAAAAAAATTATGCATGCGAATATCAACTTAGTGGCAACCCGGTTCGCTAACCCGTTGGTTCGGGTTACGCGGGTTGGGGTGTTACAATCTGAAAGGACAAAACAAATCTTAGAAGATATGATGAGAGCATGTGTGATCGAATTTGGAAGCAACTGGAAACAATACCTGCCATTAATGGAAATCGCATATAACAACAATTATCAAGCGAGTATCCAAATGGCCCCATACGAAGCCCTGTATGGGAGACGCTCTAGAATCCCAGTATGTTGGACCAAGTTGAGCGAGCAAAAGCTTGAAAGACCCAATCTCATCCGAGAAATTGAAGAAAGTTTGTCTAATCATAGAGAGACTACAAGTGGCTTCTAATCGATAGAAATCTTATATTGATTTAAAACGTCATGAGATTGAATACGATGTTAATGACATGGTGTTTTTGAAAGTTTCACCGTGGAAGAAAGTGCTACGATTTAGTAAGAAGGGAAAACTGATCCCAATGTATATTGTACCCTATTGAATCACTGAACATGTGAGACCAGTAGCCTATCGGTTAGAACTTCTGATAGAATTGAACAAAATTCAAGATGTATTCCATGTGTCAATGTTAAAACAATAATGTTTTGATCCATCGCATATCTTGACCGATGGAACCGCAACCCTTAGGGAACGCTTGACCTATAAAGAAGAACCAATAAAAATTTTGGCATAGGAAATCGAGAAACTAAGAAACAAATTTGTCCCTCTAGTCAAAGTACTACGGAGGAATCACTCGATTGAACAAGCAACTTAGGAAACCGAAAAGTCAATGAGAACACAATATCTGAATATCTTAAACCAATGACTCAAATAATCTCAAGGACGAATTTTTTTAGGGGGGGAGAAATGTAACGCCCTAAAAATAGGCCTGTCAGAATTAATTAATTGATAATTAATTAATTACTAAAAAGGATCCAAAAAAAGTGATTTATAAAGTTTGTCAATAAATAATGAAAATTATATCGTTGTGTAGAGTTTGACTGTCTGACCCCAAGAGTTTAATTGAATTTCAATTCGGAGAAAGTTGGATCAAAAAATGTATCGCGACTGGGACCAAAAATAGTCTCAATCAGGGAGTGGCGCGTAAATCTCGTAGAAGCTGATTTCTGCCGATTGAAGATTGGCTAATTGATTTCTAACTTAGCATCCTGTGTCTCTTCCTCTATCATCTTTCTATATAAGAGTACCTAAGCTTCTTCATTCCTTCACCAAATCATCCTATTCTTCTTTCTATTCTGTTGCCCTGAGTGAGGAGAATAGACTGGTGCTGTCAATTTAGTGAGAGGTCACCAGAGTAGGGAGTTATTGTTGCCGGAAGTTTCGCCAGAAAATTCTCAAAACCTTCATTTAAGCCCAAGGTAAGCCCGTAGATATATCTAGTGACTAGAATGTTCGTATATATTGTTTCTACGTTCATAAACGATCATTTGGTTAAGTTTTGTGTTTGACATGTTTGAAGAACCAAAAATCATAAACCCTGGAATTGTTATTAAAACTACGAATTAATGATACCAAAATGATCTATGAACCTCGAAGAACATTTGAATATAGTTTAATTGAAGTTTGGTCACTAGAAATGATATTTCCGAAAAATGGACCGAAGGTAAGAGACGATAAACAGTGACTGAAATACCTTTGGGTGATCGATCACCATAGGTGGATCGATCATCAGCCCTGGATCGATCACCCAAACTGGTTGGTCCAAACATTTGTCTGAAAATGATATTTTTGGAGCTCTGAAATCCAATTATTGATACCAATCAATTATGATCAATGTAAAGATGATTTCTCGAAACAAAAATGATGTTTTTGGGAAATAAAATCTTATGTGATGTATGACGATAATCTAGGGTGTTAACACTCGACGCAGACCACTATTTGTTATTGGATATTATTATGATTATTATTGATGGATGATTATGATAAATATTATTGTCTGATGATTGTGATGATTAAACTTTGATGAATATTCTGAATAAAATGATGATTATGAATTGCGAACTATAATTCAAATTAAATGGATTGAAGAGAAATGAATTGTATTGTTACGACTATGTAGAAAACCTCTAAGATAGGCCTCAGATTAGAATATGCCTTGCAGGTATAAATATGAACATTTGGTGGCCTTGGGTAAAAACGTATGTACGGGATCTGCAAACTAAACTTGAAGATCACTCGTTTGGGGATACCACCCAACCCAACAGTGAGCATTTCGCTGTTCGGTTTCTAGTTGTACCTTAAGCGAAGGCTAGTTTAAGAGTTGGAAAACCTTTTTGAAAATTGTACCTTAAACTAGACTAGCTTAAGAGTTGGTTGGGAGTAACTTAAACTAGAATATAGTTTAAGAGTGGGTTAGAACCACCTTAAATTAGAATTAGTTTAAGAGTTGGTAAACATCAGGAAATTGGCTATAGACTAAGAACAAGTTTGAGAGCATTATTGAATAGGAACGTTGAATGTTGATCACTGAATCTTGAATTCCTGAACTGAATATTATGTGCATGATATCAAATGATTTGATTATGAATTGAGATTCAATTTATACGGATGTTCGATACGTTAGATATCTTTACTCAGCTTCACCGCTGAGCGTGTAGTATGTTTTATTTGGTGCATGCAAGAAAACAGAATGAATGAAGTGATTGTTCCTGGCAGTAGATGGGCGAGATGGTCGGGATGTAGGGATGTCAATTCAACCCGAACCCGAGCTTAACCGACCTGACCGACTACTAAAATATCCGAACCCGAACCAAAAACAAAATAATCCGAACCCGACCCAAAATTTATTACCCGAATCAACATCGGGTCGGGTCGGGTGTGGATTTATAATTTTGTCCGACCCGACCCGAACCCGCACCCAACCCGACTAAAACCCGAATATTTTATTACATAAAAGTCTATCTATGGATATAATGAGCACTCCGTATAATCTCTTGACAAAGTGCTACTATATGAAGTATGCCTTTTATAATCATTTTTATAATCCCTTAATAAAAAACGAGACATAAAAAAAGAGATACAAAAAAATTAGATTTAATCTTTTTAAAATTATTGGGGTACGTCGAATTGATTATTGGCTAAAAGTCGGGTTCGGGTTTCGGGTTGAAATGTCGGGTTCGGGTCGGGTCGGGTTTCTGGCTTAAAAGGTCGGGTTTCGGGTCGGGTTCAGGTTTCGGTTTTAAAAGTCGGGTCGGGTTCGGGTATAGTACTATCCGACCCGAACCCGACCCGTTGCCATCCCTATCGGGATGGATGTGTGGAATTGAGTTAGTGTTCCAAAAAGACACGAATTTATAAAAGTACACCCAATTTTTTTAAAAAGTTTTTAAAGATTTTTCCAAATTTTGTTTGTTTCATTTAATTTTTTCAAGTTTCATCCAATTTCTTTCAACATTCAGTTTTTTTTCAATCCTAAAGAACATGCTCTAAAGTTCGTAAAATTACTGTTCATATTGAAAATCGAACACACGACATCTCATTTGAAAGATTCTGAGAGTCATATTTGTGTCATTTTACTACAGATCTTTGGAAGTTTATTTGTTAAAAAACACAAACATTAAGCACATAGACAGTGTAGGCCCACAACAGCAGAAAGCCCAAACTATCCCCAACCCCCCCTCCGATCCTCCGTTTATGCTAACGGTTGGAATTGGAAAGCGCAATGAGACTACTGATTTCAACTCTGAACCACTACTGCACGACCCGCCGCTCCCCCTTCTTCTCCCCTTCACAGAACCCTCGTCGCCTTTCACCTCTCCCACAACTTCCGGCCTTGAGAGTAAGTTTGAAGCATCACAAACCCTCGTCGGCGCGCTGCGGAACCACCATGGCGTGCTCTGAGGCGTCTCCTCCGCGGGTTCAAGTGAAAGACCAAATCGATTTGACGGACAAGGAGAAGCAGATTTTCGACCGTCTTCTTCAAGTTGTGCGCCACTTTGGTCTCCAGACACAGCTCCGCGTCGCCGGTGGTTGGGTTCGAGATAAGGTTTGGACCCCTATCTGCTTTGCTTTAGAATTTGGCCGACTTATTATGCTCCCTCCATCCCAAATTCATCATTCCTTTTCGAATGAAGTCCAAAATATCAGTTATTTTAATTTGATTTTATTTACAAAAATACAAATTGGTAAGGAAATAAAAAGTACAAATTACATATTTTATAACTACATCAAAAATTTTACTAAACAAGTGTGAGCACTGGTAATGGTCTTGAAGCCCCGGGGCTTCAAACCTTCTCTCTACTATATCAGCTTTAATTTACACCATAATTTCACTGAAAACAGGTTTGAAGCCCCGGACTTCAAATTAGAGCTTCAAACCTCTATTATTTACATTTTTAAATACACATCTTCTAAGATTAAGTTAATAACATTTTATTGTTTAATTAATTTTAAAGGACAATAATTCATTAAATAAAAAAATACAATCAATAAAAAGTACATTAACAAAATAAGATTTGAATAATAACAACAAAAATAAAAAAATAAAAATTATATTACATTATGAAGAAATTATTGATAATTCGAGCAACCAAATATATCTTCAATCAAATCAGGGTTGTAATGACATATTGCAAACTAAAATAATCCATTAAATAAAAAAATACATTCAATAAAAAAAGTACATTAAATTTAAAAAACAAAAAAAAAATTACATTACAAAAAATACGGAGTAATTTTTAAACAACAAAAATATTACATTAAACAACAAAATATAGATTAAAAAAATTGTGTTTGTGTATGTTTTATTTGTTAAAAAGAGAGTGAAGATAAAGAGTAAAAGAAATATTTTTTTAGTCTTATAGCAATAATGTTAAACATTTGATGCATAAGTGATGAAGCCCTAATGAAGCCCCAAGGGGGCGGTGTTTAACGCCCCTTTGACAGTTTGACGTTAAAACCGGCAAAAACGCCCCGGGCGTTAGGACCATTTCCAATGCTCTTACGCAAACAAAAATCATCAGAAGCCCAAAATAGTAACTTGGCCAATTTTTCGGGGACTGGAGTAGTTCTTTACTTATTCTATGTAGCCATTTAATATTAATGTTACTACCTCCATCCTAATTTTTTTAACCAGTTTGACTTTTTAATAAAAGTATTTGAAAGTGAATGGTTAGAACTCGAACTCGCTGAGATGAGAGAGAGAGAGAGAGAGAGAGAGCTACATATTTATTACTCCATAATAAAAAAAGGAAATAAAGTAGGTGAGAAGTGTTTTTTGGGACCTTATTGGTTAAAGTTTTTTTTTGGGGGGGGGGGATGGACGGAGTATTTTCAAAATCTTTTAGAGATAGAAGTTTATTATACACTATATAAGTCTAGATTTTCTTCTTCTTGGGGAGTTATCATGTAATTTTTTTTGCCGAATTTGAGTGGAAAAAGATGTAATCTCAGTTGAAACTTAGTTTTTCTGATGAAAGTGTCCCTTTTGATTATTCCTACTAGTTGCATCCCCCAAACAGTGCTCGGTTTCATCAAGGTACAACCTTTTGTTTTTGAGTAAGGTATTAATATATTGAAAACAAGCTTCTTTTCATTGAATATAACTTTTTTTTGGAATAAATGCATGTTAAGACTTAAGAAAGTGGACTCTTTTTATGGGACAGAAGAAATTTTTTAAAAGATTTTTTTCTCGATGATATTGGTTTGTGCTTTTTTATTATCACAATTCTAAAATGCCTGAATTCCTCTACTATCAATTGTTGGATCATAATTTCATAAAAAAAATGCAACTACAAATCTACCATTGTTTAGATCAAGTTCATATGTTCATTTCTAGTCTTTATAGCAGCCATGCTATGTAGGCCATTTGCCATTATGTCATGGGTTTAGTCCTGAAAGCATGAACTTGCATATATTTTCCGTGCCTGGGCCTTACATGACACAAGGTCCTTGCTTCAGTTTCTATGTCATTCTTCCATTTGGAGCAGTTTGTATAAAATTTCTGCCTTCATCTATTTGACATAATGTATCCTTGGTGTAGCTTCTTGGTAAAGAATGCTATGATATAGACATTGCACTTGACAACAAGCTGGGAACAGAGTTCTGTGAGAAGGTCAATGAGTATTTATCATCAATCGGAGAAGAGACCCAAGGAATAGGAGTCATTGAGCGGTATGCTCTATTGTCGTTTTTCTTCAAGCACACCACACACATGAGCTGAATTGATCTTGTCCTATTGTTATAATTTTGGTCTTTTTACGACTTGTTGATGTATTTGTCGAGTTCTTTGATTGGTTAGGTCAGTTGTGACGGATGTTGTTTTTGGTCCTCTAGATCTTGGTGAACTAGATTACAACTTAACCAACTTCATTGCAAACTTACAACAATTAGTTGATTTTCTATATTTCTTTAGTTTGAGGTTTATGAGTGTCATGGTAATAGCTTATGTGCCAGTAGTGGAGTAGTGATGGATGGGTCTGAATGGTTTTAAGTTTGAGTTTTATGATTTTTAGTTCATTTGATCACTTTCTACTTTTATCTTTTGAGTTCTGTATTTATTTAATTTTTAATTTAAAGATTTTCACTTCATCAAGTTTCCGCTTTCAAGTTTCAAGATAGAATTACAATTTATGTTGATTGTAGTACCATAGAAGCCCAGTTTTTCTTATCTTTGGCAGAGTGGAGAAATTGGTTACTAATTTAATTTTAATCTTTAATAATTTTCTAGCAATCCTGATCAGTCAAAACACTTGGAAACAGCAAGGATGCGCCTTTGTGACATATGGATTGATTTTGTTAACTTGCGAGCAGAAGATTACTGTGAAAATAGTCGTATTCCAACAATGGTAAATACTACTTAAAGAGTGGTTTACTGCATCACGATTTTCATGTTGCCCATAGCCACATATACAGGTCTTGGTTTGTTTAGTTTCACTTCTGATTGTATATAAAAATTTGCCTTCACTAATGAGCAATTCATTGAACTAGGATAGACACTTATAAGACTGAATATTTCAGTTTCAGAGTTACACAAATTGTTTCCTGGAATCTACTAGTGATTTATAATTATGCCATAATCAGAGACCACTATGAATATCATGGTGAATGGCAATGCTACAACAAAAACAAACCCAGTAAATTCCCAACTCTTTCAAGATGTAAAAAAAGGAGGGGTTTGTGTGTTAGACCCTTGTTGCATTCATGCATTTACTGTCTAAAACTTCATAGGAAGTTAAATGTGTCATTTTGATTTAGTCAACTATTTACCTGAAGCTCTTTAAAATGACTCTTTTAGCTCAATTGGCAATGGATGAAAAGTTATTAACAGACTATTTATATGTATTTGCACACTAGCATGCTTCATAAGTTTTCATATGCTAACATCACTAAAGTAATTAATTTGTGCTTTTATTACGTTTTCTGTTTTGTTTGTTTCATAGAAATTTGGCACTGCAAAGGAGGATGCTTATCGCAGAGACTTGACCATTAACAGGTGCATCTGTTTTCCGAGGATAAATTAATCATCTTCTCGTTTTTCCACATTTAATGAAATTTTTGGAATGGAGTTATGCTGTAAATATGTGTTCATTATGCTCTCTTAAAAGCATCTCACTGGTTCTTTTTATCACAACAGCTTGTTCTACAATATTAACTTGAGTTCGATTGAAGATTTTACTGGAAAAGGTAAATGCATGTTCTAAATTAGTTGCCTCTCAGATTGCAGAAATGCATCTCCAAAAAGTTATGTTGTATTCTATCAATCTTATTCTATATTCAGGCATTATGGATCTGAAGTGCGGCAGGATTGTGACCCCGCTGCCTCCAAAACAGACCTTTTTGGACGATCCATTAAGAGTTCTTCGAGCTATTCGTTTTGGTGAGTGATATAACAGCCAATCATTCAATGTTCCATATCTTTGTATATAAAAACAAATGCATGCAATCTTCTATGGAAGTTCTGCTTTAGATTTTGTGTTGACTGCTGACACTACACACACTAGTGTACACACCAGTTTTGCTATGTCGTCCACTATTCATAGACTATGTGTCGGGTCACTGGGAAGTGATGACAGGTGGCTATTACTAGCGACGGGAGTAAATGACGCATCACACTGACAAGTTTCAGATTTGAAAACCTTAACATATGGCTGCCAGATTTCAAATCCAAAAATTGCAGCCTATTGCCACCAGCACGAAGTAGATCCACAGCATTCTGCTGCCAGAGGGAAGTAGATCTGCTGCTGCTGTTGTTTGCTGTTTAGTAAGATTTGGTCTCTTGTTTTGCTCTTTCAGTCTCTTATATTTTTTTCTTTTCATTTTCATTTTCTTTTATTTTCATTTTGTTCTATTTTTCTAGGTTGGTGAGAGGGGGGTCCATGGTTTAAGTCTGTCTAGACATGCTTGTTTTTATTACTTTATGCGTAACTATTACTCTTTTTTAAACACTCTTTTCTCTTCCAATTTAATATTATTTGCGGAGCAGTTTTAACTTTATGGATCACCTCTAAATAATGTTTCTATACACTTCTAGATTTTTGTTTTCTTTTATTCTTTTATTTCCACAACTAAATTTTGTGTTAGATATTTTAATTTAATGCTCTTGTTGTTGTTATCTTTATTGTTCTTTGGGAGATTTTACAACTATACAAGTATTACACTTATTGACTAATTATGGATTAGTCAACCGACCAGGGGACTCTATCTGCTGCGCCTCAACTCGATTTGTGAACATGAGAACCATGTTCTCCACACATGTATATCAGAGTACACAACCAGCCACGCACACACTAATATGTACACATTGAAATTTAATTGAAAGAAATCAAGAAAATGTGTTGGTTTTCAAGCATCACTAAGATCTTATTTTGCATTTATTCCACTACCGAGTTTGGTATTTACCCTTAAAGATTTCCTTTATAAATTGACTTGTAAATTCTTAATATACCTAAAATTCTTGTAAGCTGTTTGGAAGAGCCAATAAGATTTTTATTTTAATCCTAAGTAGGTATAAGTTAGTGAGTGCAGATAGAATGTGAGATCTTAACAACCTGGTTGTTGGACTTTAGAAATTGCCCTGCCCTTAGGGGGAAGGGGATGAGGCATTATAGATATTTTTGGCATTTCTACATGTATATGTAGAAAAGAAAGGGACACGGCATTATGTTTCCAAGTGAATCTATGTGTCACATGGTGTCTCCTTTGACGAGATGATTCAATAGAGTGGTCAGACTCCCCTATGGCGCTGCTAGGATTTTGAAGTCTGTGGAAGAGGTCCAAGAGGACCTGTGCACAGTAGTGGAAATAGAGAGGGGTATGAGGATAATCACACAGGAATATATATATATATATATATATATATATAGAGAGAGAGAGAGAGAGAGAGAGAGAGATACTACTTAGTTAATAACATATATAAAATAAAACATTTGACCTCATAAACAAATGACCACAACTGACTCTACTATAAATAATAATAACACATGTGGCGCTCTATTAATGTGTGTATGTATATTTGTGTGTGTGTGTGCATATATATGTGTGTGTGCGCGCGCGTTAGACAATACTAATAATAATACAAATAATACTTATGATAGTATTAGTTATGTTAGTGTTTGCTTATTAGTTAGCTTTTATTATTGGGTTGATTCCTACATGTGCTAGGAATTCTACCTATATAATAATCTCTTTTATTCTCCATTATTCCCAAGTTAACCTATTATTTTATTATTCCAACATGTTATCAGCTCCACTGCTTCCTTGAAACTAAGAGAGAGTTTTTCACTTCCGCCACCGCTGCTGGTAATTTATCTAGCAACGGCGGCCTAACCCTACCTTCTTCCTTCTTCTCCTGATCAAACTTTGTCATGTCCTTTCTCTTAGAAAAAAACTTCTTCTGTTATCTACCCACAGAAGATTTGCATTCAAGAATTCAGTATCTCAGAATATGTTTGTCGATTTAAATCAAATCGGCAATGCAAATCATAAAAATAGGGATCAACCTTATTTACTCATGCTTCCCCTCGTTGCTGCTTTGCTTATCAGTTCCGATCGTGAACTATGTTTCACCAAGCTCCGCCAATTTCCAAGAGTCTAGCACTCTAGCAACATCTCCAAATTGCTGGTGTCTCTACTTCTCCAACTTGGCGCCAGCCTCTCTCAACCGCCTCTACCTTCCCCGACATCTCTTCTTCTTCTTCTTCTTCTTCTTCTTCTTCTTCTTCAGATTCTTCCGCCTAGCCACATCACTACCAATCACCAACAAAAATTCTGAACCACCTAATCTCCTAATCACTAGATCCAACCGTTGCTGCAAAATCCCAACTCCCTCTATTACCATATCAAAATCTCACCAAAGTATATACTTCTCGACCACCTATTCTGTGTCTGCTTTTTCTCTCTCTCAAATCACTCATTCTTAATCATCACTTTCTCTCCTCTTTCTCTTCTGTAGAACCAATAAAAAACCAAAAGCAAATCCAAACCAAAGCCAAGCCAAAATACGAAATAGAGAAAGTGGAAGAATACCTCAACAACTCACTATTCCAAGAAGGCCATAAAAGATTCACAACTGAGCAAAGAAACAGGGCATTGCCTGGATTAAAAAAACAGAAAGAATGTCAAGGATCTTCAATCAAACTATATATATATATATGTATATACATACATACATACACACACTCACACACACACACACACACACACATATATATATATATATATTTATATATATATGTTCTAGTGAGAATGAGATCTTAGGAAAGAAATAAGAATGCATGTGGTGCTTTAGAATGTGAGATCTAAGGGCCATAAAAATTTGAAAAATATGAAAAAATCAGAAAAACCGGTGGCAATTTTGTAAATAAATCAAACTTTGTCAAATGCACCCTTGGCGAACAAAAATGCACCATTCTTATTCCTTTCACCAAGGTCCATTCTTACAGGAATCGGCCCCTATGTATATATATATGTATATGTATAAGTATATGTATATGTAGACACAAGTTAGCCATTTGACTGCCTGCCTCTGGCTTAAAAAAGGTCCTCGCCCACCTTGTGCCTCTCACCTTTAATAACTATGACTACTACCAATAATAGTAACATTGATAATGATGATGATGATGATTGCATTACACTAATGTGCATTATTATGTAGTGAAGGCACTGCTAAAATAGAAAGATTGCAAAATTTCTCTTGAATCAAGGAATGATAGGAAAAGTTGGAAAACAAGGAAACATGCATATTTGGGAAATATGGATCTTGAAAGAACAACTTTATTGGGTCAACTCTTATTGAAAAAAGATTTGCATACAAATGAAATATGCATGCTGTTGCTGTTGTGCTGTACAGTGTAGTATCATACTGCAGTAAGGGGACAGTTCGTCTAGTGCCTTGCAACATATAAGAATCTTATAATAATTTTTGTCAGCTACTTTTGCTCTAAAATTTTGTTTTTTTGCACTAAGTTCTGTGCAATGGAAAAACTATTTACTGTTCACATATTTTTCCCGTTCATATTTTGTTTAGTTTTTTCTAATTTATTTTATTTTGGAAGGAGGTGATTAGGCAAGATTTAGGACTTCTCACCCTGACTGAGGATTTGGCTTTAGATAGGAACCTTTGGAGAACTAGGATTAGAGTAGCTGGATAGGAGCTCGGTGCTACAGAGGTTTTTTGTAGTGTGTTGTGTTTGATTGGAATCTTCTACTATTGCTTGCAGAACTTTCATTTCATTGTACTTGGGTGCTTTATCCGTGTTATACTGTGTTCCCTACCATATTTTTTGTGTAGGTTGAGCCGGGGGTCTCTTGGAAACAGCCTCCCTGCTTCCAAGTAGGGGCAAGGTCTGCGTACACACACCCTCCCCAGACCCTACTGTAGTGGGATTCAACTGGGTTGTTGTTGTTGTTTTTTATATGTGTTTACTTATACTGAAACTGGATGATTTCAGGTGCAAGATTTGATTTCATGTTAGATGAAGAGCTTAAGAAAGCTGCTTCAGATGATGATGTCAAGGCTGCTATTGCAGATAAGATTAGCAGAGAACGCATTGGCCATGAAGTATGCACCCCATACAATTTCCATGTTTGTTTAATTAATATCATGTTTTATTATTGTTTGCGTACTCATATTTTAACCCTCGATCACTTCCGGATCTGACCCGAAGTATAACCTTAACTGTTTGTTCTAATGTACTACCCATAATCGTGAGAATTGGAGTGGACTGGCCTGTTCTAACAATAAACCAGTGAACCAGTTGCAAGTCCGGTAACGAGTTCACGAGTTCAGACCAGGTTGAACCAGTTGGTTTTTCTTGAAAAATGCTAAAATTAATGTCATAGCTAGGATTTCATTAAACTCTATTTGATTGAAAGTTCTGCACTTCAACCAATTATCCTAGAGAATTTCGTGTTACTTTTTTGTTTAAATAGTATGTTTATACATATCACGAAAATAAGTATTTTGAATACCTTTTGAGAATGTTGGGCATAAAATTTGAATCATTAAAATTTAAAATCATGTACTCCCTCTGTTTGAGAAAGATGTTCTCAAGTTTACTTTTCACGATTTTTAAGGAAAGTTGAAAAGAGGTAGAAATTTACTCAAGTACCCTTATTGAAAGTAGGTGGAGTATATTAAATGATGTGGATGAGGTGTAGTAAATAAAGAGAGGGTAATTGTGGTATTTTAAATGTTAAAGAGGTAATGGGGAGATCTTTCCCGGACAAAAAAGGGCATTTAGGAAGATCTTTCCCGAAGAGAGGGAGTATCATATTTTAAGATTCTTACCACATGAGCTATGAACATTAATAAGATTTTGGTTGAAAACCCATTATTCGGATAATGATAATATAATAATAATGACTATAATAATAATTATAATTATTATGAAACAAAAAAATACATGTCTATGTTTTAAATTGAGAAGAAAAAACATTCATTACTTTTTCCATTACAAAATGGTTGCAACACTATATATATATATATATGTATGTATGTATGTATGTATGTATGTATATATGTATATATATATGTATGTATGTATGGATTTTGGTTCTGGTGAGAATGCGATCTTAGGAGAGAAATGAGAATGAATCTGGTGCTTTAGATTGTGCGATCTAAGGGTCAGGATTGCATCAAAATTAAGTGCAAGAAAATGGTTTGAAAATGCATCACGTCAAAATGCATCATAATCCTTTGAAAATGCACTATCTCAAAATATGAGCGCAGGATGTAATCTGAGCCGCACGATGCATCAGATCCAACGGCTCGATTTCATTCTCATTTCTCTCCACAAGGTGCATTCTTACAGGAACCGGCCCCTATATGTATGTATGTATGTATATGTATATATACATACATGTATATGTATGTTTGTATGTCTATATAAACCTCTTCATTATTCTCTTACAATATTTCCTCTATAAATCTATGTAAACTATTATTTCTGTCTTCCTCTGTATCATTTAACAGATCAATCTCATGATATCTGGCAATCAACCTTTGAAAGCTATTACATATGTTGCTGACCTCCACTTATTTTGGACTGTCTTTAGTCTTCCTCTTGAATTTGAGCCTCCAATTCCTGAGAATTGTGACAAGTATCTTCATAATCTCAAATCCTGTTTAAAATGTTATATATTTAGTTTTATTTGAGTTATCATCAAGTTCATTCGTTTTTGAAAGTTGTAAGACAGTTTTGTGATGCATTAGGTAAGTGTACGACTATTTGTACAATTGTGCTGAATAGTTTTCTCTAAGATACGTTCTGAACCTTTTGTATTTTTAAATGTGTACTCCATGATTGATAATAACATATTTTGAAATGTTTATATTTTGAAATTGATATCTATACCATTATTTTTCCTTACTGAAATTGAAAACTTTTACATTAAAACACCCTTGATGATATTTTGTTAATCCATATGGCAGATACAAAATCTTTCAAGAACAAAATCTTAAAAGCTGGGTATCTTTTTGTAAATTTTACAATCTTTACTCACATTCTAACATTCTCAAGGACTGCCTCTGTGCATTTCACAATAATCTTCTGGGAATTAAATCTTGTATGTGTGGTTCCTTTAAATACAAACCACATAATCGTGATGAAAAACCTATTTATTCCTGAATTATTTGTGTACTCTTTCTTTATAGTTCCGCCTTCTTTCAGTCTCCCAAGTTCACTGTTCATGAATTATTTTCTGAAACTGAAATTCAGCTATAACTCTCTACTAAGTTTAGTTTGATTGTTAGGATGTGTGTTGCTTACATGGATCAAGCATGCAGAATTCTGCACTTAACTAGATGCTTATTGACTGTAAGTATCTTTTAATTTTAGATTATATACCTTGGTCCTTCTTTGGCTACAATCCACTCATGATGAAAACATATCAAATTTAATTTTGAAGGATTTTAAATGTCTTTGTGTGACTTAAGTTATTGTCTAATTATTCATTTTCTGAGGCTTATAAATATTGTGATGGCTCCTGAACAATCTATTTATTTAGTGCAAAGGGATATTTTTCAATGAAGCATCAGTTATAACAATTTAATGTTCCCTTTTTACGACAGATCTGTGGAGAGTTGCTTGTTGTTACTACATTTTTATGTTGACATGGTTGTATATCATATTGATTACTCTTTGTGTAATCATGGTTTTTGCTCTTCATTTTTGGCTGTTAGGATGACCAAAGGCGGCTGTGCTTGTATGCTGCTTTGTTTCTTCCATTTAGAGACACTATATACAGAGGCAATAAAGCTAAAAAGGTAAAGTACTCCTGTGCTATTTTTCCCTTGGACTATGGTGGGATATGCATTAATGTCCTGTTTTCAACTATTTCATGAAGAGTAGACTGAGCATGTGTATTCTCTCTCTTTCTCTCTCTCTCTTAGTGTGTAACAACATTTCTATAGCATTGATATCTTTCATTCGGATTGTTTTTATAGAAAACCCACTGTTGGATTTAAAGATACTAAGACATAGATCATCATCCTAAAATTTCATAACAATCCAAAATTTTTTTGCACCCAATCATAGAGCTCTTGATTATGCTCCCTCGGCTCAATTTTTATCTTCCCACTTTCCTTTTCAGTCCATCCACTAATTATCTTCCCATTTCCTTTTTTGCAAGTTTTTTGTGTGTAAAATGTATTTAATACCCTAAAATATCTTCCAACCAGTTAACCCAAATCCTTACCCACCCCAATATCACCCTCACCCACTCCGTTTCTTTCCTTATTCCACCAGCGTACCTCTCATCTTCGACTTCATCTTCTTCTACTTTTTTTCTTACTCAAATGTTCATCAAAACTTCTTGAAATCGTCATCTTCATCGAATTTTCTTTTCTTTTTAAAATCTTCTTCTTCTTGAAATCAATTTTTTCTTAATTCACTCTTCATCTTCTTCGAGAATTCTTTTTCTTCCACTCTTCTTGTCATCAAGTCTTCTTCTTCATCATATCTGAAGACAAAGTGTTGTTTTCGCCAGATCTGAAGCCTGTATAGGTTTTGTCCACTGCTGGAGATGGAGGGTTGCCAGCCGGTGTTTGATCCGCAGAGAAAGAAGATTAAGAAATGGTCGTGACCATCGATTTCTTGTGCTGCCGGTGATGAGCTGAAGAAAGACGAACAGGGATTTGGGCTGGGAGGCCGGAATCCGGGTTTGTCGGTGCCGATGTTGAGCTGGTGCTCTAGGCTGGGACGAATAGTAATTTTGGGCTGGTGCTGCTGGTGATTTGGATGTGTTGACGGAGGAGTTAGGGTGCCAGGGAGGCTGGCTGAGTGAAGGGGGGAGAGGTATTTTGGAAAAGTCAACCACATTTTCACTTTACCTAAATCTGCATGCCGGGTCAAACCGGGAGTAAATTAAATGGACGAAGGGAGTTTATGAAATAGTACATCGATCTTTTTATTATGATTTAGTTTTGAAACGATTTCAGATTTTTATGAAATTTTAGCAGTATGATCTAGTGATCTACATGCTAATATCTTTGAATCCAACAGTGGGTTTTGTATTAAAACCATCCAAATGAGAGACATCAATGTTGTAGAAGTGTTGTAAACACTAAATGCGTGCGTGCTCCCCCCCACCAAGGAGTATTCGATAATGAATTATTTATCAAAGAACTATAAAATCCCAAATTGAAAGGCCCTAATATTGAGATGCTATCTACCTACTATTTGGCTCGCCTAATGTCATATTTCTTGCTCCGTGCCTCCGTCTCTGGTTATATTGGCATTAGAAACTCACAGGTGCAGACAATGTAGAGACAAACATGTCTTTCTTATAATGGTTAATGTATGCACAATTAAGACAAGGTTATCCTTTTGATTCTTTGACAATATGCATGTATGACTTTATTTATTGCAATGAAAATTATTTATTTATTGCAATTATGTTCAGCACCTGTCATTCACTTTAAAAAGGCCATAGACTTCAAACTTCCCTTAAATATATCCACAGAATGCTATTAATATACATTGATCTAACAGTAATTTTGAGTGTATTATTTACTTATCTGTTGACGTTTGGTTTGAATGAACGTTGATTGATGTATGTGTGAACAGATTCCAGTTGTGAGTTATATCCTCAAAAATTCTCTTAAGCTGAAATCCAGTGATTCAGAAACAGTAAGTTGCAATTATAACAGTATTTTATGATAACCATATGCTCAATACTTGAGCTTACTTTATTTCCTCTTGCCACCTGGCCACATTATATCACCGGACTGACTGCAATTGAAGGGTTAATTGAAATGTGTTAATATGGCATGTTTGCAGGTCATAAGCCTGCATATCGCGGCAAAAAAATTTGCATCATTGATTCCATATATTAAATCTGAAGACACAGAAATTATTGAAGTGGATTGGAAAAAAGAAACTATTGATGTTCCAGTTGCTTTGAAACGTAGAATACTTACAGGTAAGAAAAGTTGCTTCTGATGCCAGGTCCTGTTTCTAAAAACAATGGTTTTTGGATAGTATTGCACATAGCCTATGCCTTTATTTGTTTGTATTTATCTCGAAACCTTGGGTTTCAAAAGTTTTGCTAGGTGACATGTTTTTCACACTGACAGGACTGGTGCTCCGTGATATTAAAGACTTTTGGCGTGTTTCCCTTGCGCTCTCCGTGCTATTATACCCTACAAATATGGATTTAGATGAAGTTTGCGAGTTGGAGAAGAGAAGTGAATTATTTAAGACGGTTGAGAAAGCCATCCTCAATCTAGGTACCATTAATAATATCATTCGCGCTTTCATTACGGTCAAATAGCTTTCTAGAACTGGAAATCCAAGGGGGAAATAGTCAAATGGGTGGTCTTGGTTACATGTTATGCTTCTTCATCTCAACTCCTTCCTTTTAGACTTGCATATAGTGACCCACCTTTGCATGCTCAACTAGTATCTTAGTAATGCTTTCTCTTCATCTTCATCTGCACCAGGAGTTTTAATTGGTGGTTCTCACCTAGTTAGAGAACCAAGTCTAGGACCTTATGTTGCAGATGTGTTAATATATGATTTGTCACTTCATGATTGCATAGGCTGAGTAGTGATGTGTGATTTCTTGAATTTCTTTTGATCCACAGGCCTAGAAAAGGTGTGGGAACTTAAGCCACTGGTGAATGGGAAGGAAATCATGAATGTTTTGGAGATTAATACGGGAGGACGAATTGTAAATGAATGGGTAAGAAGGCGTACAAACTTGCTAGCTTTTTAAAACAAAGTCCGGCACCGAGCTTGCTTATCATGTTTTTTTTTCTTTTCTAGCAACAAAAGTTACTCGAATGGCAGCTTTCACACCCTTGCGGGACAGCGGAAGAATGCATTGATTGGATGAGAGAGGCTAAATCAAAACGTATCAGAATGGAGTAATGGAAAGATCCAATTGCCTTTCTCTATGACTTCTTTTTACTGACAATAGTTTTGCAAGGACTGCAGGTTTTAAGGCCATAATAGCCATCAATGCCACTTCAGAAAATTACTTCTGCACGTACACTGTAGAGCAATTCAGAAGGCAAGTCATCCTAGTTTAATGAAACCCCTAGTTCAGTTTTGGTAGCTAATTTTTTTTCCCAATGCATTCAATATGTAAATTGTTGATTATAATGGTAGGACTTGAAAAACTTCTCCTATGGAGTACCCAAATTTCTTGTCAAATTTCCTTAATTTTCTCTATTTTTTTCTTATGTACTCCGTATTTGATAAGATAATCTTATTATGCTAAATCTTGTTAATGAAACTCTTACATTTTTAAATATGTAAATTTTACGGAGTACTTTAAATTTTATTTCATTTTTCAAATAAATTAAAAATGATTTCAGTCAAATATTGTAAATTAAAACGGAAAATTTAATTTTGGCCGGGAGAGTACGCTTTGCATTAGTCAATAGTCATGTTTTGAAATGATATTGAATTAACGGTAGTGCTTTTGTTTTCTTTAACTTATTTGGAACAATTTCATTGTTGTAAAGAGACGATTAAGTTTGTCGGATCAACCCCATCTCAATCATCTTAGAGCTTGTTTGGTGAGTTTTGGGGAAAGTTAAGATTTAGATTTCGAAATCGAGAAGAAACTATATGGATTTTCAAATTCTGAAGAAAATATATGTGTTTTTGAAGTCCGAGACTAAGTGTTTGGTGAGAAGAGCTATGACAGATTATGAACACAAAGACAAGGTCTGTCGTTGGAGCATACTTGATTGTCACCTCTGTAACTCTTAGAACTTGAGTTGTCCTCGTTGTTGTTACTCCTGGAGTTTACTAAAATACTAAAATTAAGAACTTGATAGAAGACATTATCCAAAATTCAAAGACAATTTAAAAATAAAATAATTAAACAACAGATTCCTCTTTTCCTATCACTTCCTCTTCTATTTATCTATTATCACGGGCAAAGCATAATGTTTTTTTAATGACAAAGCATAGTTAACAAGCAAGTCAATTTATGAGTACGACCATAACAACAACAACAACAACCCTGGTGAATCCCACAATAGTAGGGTCTGGGGAGGGTGTGTGTACGTAGACCTTGCCTCTACTCGGAAGTAGGGAGGCTGTTTCCAAGAGACCCCCGGCTCCACCTGTACAAAAATATGGAAGGAAACACATTATAACACAGATAAAGCACCAAGTACAAGCAACAAGTACAAGCAATAGCAAAAGATTCCAAACAAATACAACACACTACAAAACAATCTCTACAACACCGAGCTCCTATCCAGCTACTCTAATCCTAGTTTTCCAAATGTTCCTATCTAAGACCATATCCTCAGTCAGGTTAATCATAAAAAATAAGTTGGATGGAACGCTGCCAGAGTCACATAACCCTTTTCATTCATCCTAATATTCTCTCATTTTGTGGCGTACTAGACTTTACTGTTCTTGTGACATATTCAAGAACACATCTTTTTTTTCCTTTGGTGTCAAGCTACTCAAACGCTTTAAACTATGTATCCACATCTATGCTTGGGGTATGCTTTATGTCATCCCATATTGTATACTCTGTATTATCTATCTTTCTCTTTTATCTAACATGTTATAAATTTCTTGAGAACCGGTGAATATTTAATCTAACTTTTCCATGACGTCACTTTCTCAAATGCACTTTTATATGAAAAGGAGCATATATGGAAGTGCAAGAAAATAACAACATACGGAGTATTAAAGAGGAGCAAATTAAAGAGGAGCATTAAGAACAACAATCATGATGCAACCAACAACTCATTTTTAATGACATCAAACAGCAATAGTAAAGCAAAAATTAGTTTTAAAACAAAAATAATATCAAACAACACATTGCATTGACAACACAAAATGACATATAAATAATAAAGAGTAAAAAAAGAACAAAAAGAGTTAAAAGCAACAATAATATATACACCTTCCGTCCCAGTGTATTTGTCCAGTTTGACTTTTTCAAGTCAAACTGGATAAACTTTGAGCTTCAATTAAATAAAAATCGTAATGTATTTTAACATAAAAATTACTTTATTGGATTTATTGTATTGAGAATTTTTAAAATTGTATTTCATTATGCTAATATGCAATATAAATTGAAAATAATTGGAATTCCAAATTTTTTCAGTTTCATTCAAAAAAATCAAACTGGACAAATACACTGGGACAAAGGTAGTACTGCAGCAATAAGAATTATAACAACAATAAAAACAACAAATTAAACTCACGTATTTTGAGAACAAAAAAATACGGTTAGGAAAAACATATCCAACACATAATAGTTACGCAAAGATTAATACTAGAGTCACAAACAAACAGTTCACAAAATTCACAAACTTGCTTTTTTAGCATTTTCCTAGAAATAAGATGCACTCAAATAATAAAATATATTTTAATTTAAAATCCACAAAATGCAAGTTTATTAAGTTTGTGACTATAAGTTTGTTACTCTAGCATTTTCCTTAAAAAATCCGAGAGCCAAACTAGTAAAATTATTTGAACGACTTAAACATATCCATTGGAAAAAGGCAATGATGGGATTTTGTGGAGGAACCGACGAACTAGGCATGAGCTGGAACTCTTTGGTCGCAGAAACAGGAAGTACCGAAGTACTATTGCCGGGCTTTAGTACGGTAAATAAAATAAATTACAAAATCTATTACTCCGTACTCCGTAATTGGGGATAGAGATGACTGAGCACTATGGAAATACTCTTGAAGCCCTATGATTTCAAATCGGGGCTTCAAAATTTCTATCTCTACCACGTCAGCTTTAATTTACTTTATAGATTCAGTGGAAATAGGGTTGAAGCCCCGGGCTTCAAACATGGGCTTCAAACCTTCATTTTTTACATTTTTAAATATACATCTTCTAAATTTAAATTAATAAATTTTAATTAATTTATTATTTAAATTAATCGCAATGAGACTAGTGCATTAAAAAAATTACATTCATAAAAAATACATTCATAAAAAAATAACATTCATTAAAAAAATTACATTCATAAAAAAAATTACATTCATCAAAAAAATATTACATAAAAAACACAACACTACAAAGAAATTACTAATTATTCGAGCGACTAAAGATATGTTCGATCAAATCCGCCGTAAGTGCATTGTGAATCTCTCGGCTTCGAATTTCTTGGCGGTTTCTTCGTTTCTTTTCTTCGGTGATTTCTTCGTACATAGGCACCTCCTCGTCCAGGTTGTATTGACAAATCGTAGTCCCGTTGTCTTATATGATCATATTATGAAAAATAATACATGCGTACATGATATTCCTCATTTTCGTTTGAGAATAACATTTCGACGGTCGATCTAGAATGTGTCATTTACCCTTCAAGACCCCAAAGGCTCGTTCAATATCTTTTTTCTCCGCCTCTTGAGCTTTTTTGTAGGTCTGGCATTTAAGACCCATTTGTTTAGAAAGGAATTTGACAATCGTGGAATAATCTGGATATATTCCATCGGTCAAATAATATCCACGCTTGTAAAGCGTCCCTCTAAGCTCAAAAGACGAGTCGGGTGCGGTCTCATTAATTCAATCATCAAAAACAGGCGATTGATCGAGAACGTTGAAGTCGTTGTTCGAGCCTGCGACACCGAAAAAAGCGTGCCAAATCCACAAGTCATTTGAAGCAACAGCTTCGAGCATGATAGTAGGCTTGGGATGATCTCCCCGGGAGAATTGACCGTGCCACGCAGTGGGACAATTTTTCCATTCCTAATGCGTGCAATCAATACTCCCAAGCATGGCGACAAAGCCGTGTTTAGCGGCATGCCTTGCCTGCAACTGCTGAATGTCGCTCGCTGTAGGCTTGCGTAAATATCTTTTATGATACATTTGAATAATAGCTTTAGAAAATTTATAAACACAGGACCTGATGCTCCGAGCCGACATCTTCAAGTATTCGTCGAACATATCAGTTGTCGTCCCGTACGCCAACTGACGGAGCGTGGCAGTGCACTTCTGGACACTACTAAACCCGCGTCGGCCTCTCGCATCAAAGCGTTGGGTGAACCAAGGAACCTCGCGTTTAACATCAGCGAGTATGCGTAAAAAGAGAGGACGACTCATCCGAAAATGATTGCTAAAATCCTCCGGTGTATAAACATACGGAGTATTAAAGTAGTCGTTTAGAAGTGAAGCGTGGGCAGCCGCTCGATCCCAGTTTAAACGTTGTCGTCCGCTCCGTCGTCGGGAGGATTTGGCTTCTTCTTCTTTGCCTTCTTCCCACCATTGAATACAACTCGTGGCAAAACGACGAAAAATGAGAGCTCTTTTTTCATCGTCGGATGAAGATGATCCCATTTTTAAAATATATTTTATAAATATTTATAATAAATAATAAATATTTTAGAGAGAAGATAGTGAGAAATGTGTGAGAGAAAGATTTTTTTAAGGGAATTTATAAGTTTTTTTTTAATTTAGAATTTTTTATTTGGGGGAGGGGGGTAACAGCTATATAGCCGTTTTGGAGGGGGGGGGGGATAACGGCTATTTTGGGGGAAGGCAATGCGTCAAAGTTATGACGCTGAAGCTCTCACGCTTGGATGAAGTCCCAAGGGGCGGTGTTTAACACCCCTTGGGCGTGAAAATGGGCATAACACTGACCGGTGTTACGTGTATACCCAGTGCTCTAAGGACGAGGAAGTGAAAGAGTGACAGAGTGAAGCTGGAAAAGAGGAGAAGCGAAAATTTCTCTAGGCTTTTAGTTGGATATGCAAACACATTTTTATTTATAATCAAAGCAAAAAACCCATCAAAATCTATATTTTAACGAATGAAATTTGCTCAAAGTAATACCGAAACTTAATATTCTTTCCTAATTACTCCCTCCGTCCCCCTGTATTTGTCCACATTTGACTTTTGGAACTGTTCATCTAAGCACTTTGATTCATCAAATTCTCTCAATGTGTATGCCTAAATATAGTCATGTGTGATCTTGTTTGATTTGTCTTAACATAGAGATTATTAATGTATAATTTTTATAATTTTTTAATATACAAATTACAAGATAAAATGGATTAAAGAAGTGCATTGGATGATGTGTAAAAATGAAAGTGGAAAAATATAGGGGGACGGAGGAAGTAGTACCGAACAAGTTTTTTTACAAAACTAATACTCCATCTGTCCCCTGTTTTTGTCCACTTTTGACTTTTGGAACTGTTCATCTAATCACTTTGACTCATCAAATTTTCTCAATGTGTAAGCCTAAATATAGTTTGATTTTTCTTAACATATAGATTATTAATATATAATTTCTATAATTTTTTAATATACAAATTACAAGATAAAATGGGTTAAAGAAGTACATTAAATGATGTGCAAAAATGAAAGTGGATAAAAACTGGGGGACGGAGGGAGTATTAAATTAAATAATTAACTTTTAATAAAATGAGAAAAATGCATCGTTCATCTCAAATTCTTTGAATATTGCATAATTTACTCTTGGACATTAAAAAGTGCACTGTTTAACCTTGAAATTTTTAAAGATTACAGAATTTTTCCATGATTGCTAAACATTAGCGAGTTTTAAATAATTGTTTAAAATCTCAATTATACATTTCTAAATAGGGCCATGCTACATTTACACCACAACTTGTACTCCATTTGTACACAGCAGTTATACACAAACATTTTGATGATTTACACCGACACAAATGTTGGTGCGTTAACAAAAATTTACACGGACACAAAGTGTTGCTGCATTAACAAAAATTAGGTTTACACCAACACAAAGTGTTGGTACAAATCTGCGGGGTACAAAGTGGGGTACAAATAGCTTTATCCATCTCAGGACCATGTTACATTTACACCAAAAATTGTACCCCATTTGTACACTGCAGTTATAGACAAACGTTTTGATGGTTTACACTAACACAAATGTTGGTGCGCTAACAAAAATTTACACGGATACAAAGTGTTGGTGCGTTAACAAAAATTAGTTTTACACTAACATAAAATATTGGTGTAAACCTGCAGGGTACAAAGTGGGGTAGAAAAGGTTGGGGTACAAGTAGCTTATCCATCTCAATATACTCGGTAAGATTTAGGGGTTGTTTGTTTCAGCCTCTTAATGGTTCAGATGTCTGAATGGTTTAGCAATTAATGGTTCAGACTGTTTGTCTCAACCTCTTAATGGTTCAGATGTCTGAATGGCTCAGACATTTGCCTCTGAATGGTTAAGTATTATAGAGAGTGTAAATGGTTAAGACATCTTATCTGAATTGATCAGACATTTGCCTCTGAATAGTTAAGCAATATACTAGCTCTTAATGGCTCAGACCTCTTACTGGTTCAGCACTTAATGGTTCAGACCTCTTACTTGTTCAGCACTTACCTATTCAGAAGTTGCCTTAGGCCGTGTTTGGAAAACAGCATTTGGGATAGCTTTTGGCATCTTTGACTGACTTTGGCTTTTTTGACCAAGCGAAACGCCAAAACCATTGTTTGGCTAATGGCTTTTTCACTTGACATTTTGATCTGAAAAGCCAAAATTTGAAATGCCAAGGGGAGTAGCATTTGGACTTGGCGGTTAGGAAAAATAATTTTTTTAAAATCATTTTTGTTGAAAGATATTTTATAATATATGTAAAAAAATAAAAATAAAAATAAAAGTTAAAAAAATTATATACGAAAAAAATAAAATGAAATTAAAAAATTTATATTTATAATTCATTAAAAAATTTATATTTATAATTTATTATGAATTAAATGAAATTAAAATTTAATACTCCATATAGTAAAGATTTAATTTTTACATGTAAAAAATTGAAAAATAAATATCGTGTGTGTGTGTGTCTATATATATATATATATATATATATATATAATTTAATTTTTTTAATATAAAAAATATATTTATGATATGATATTTAAAAAAATTGTAAAATAAAATATACCATAAATGGAGGGATGTCCTTTTATGTAATTTTACTTACAAACAGCTAATTATAAACAGCTAAAGTTGCCAAACACTTAAATTTTAAATGCTAACAGAAACAATCGGTCAAAACAGCTAACTCAATCAGCCATTTAAACTAGCTAACATAAACAACCAATAGCCAACTGCAAACTGATAGTGTCCAAACAAGGCATGATTTCTTTCTCACCAGTTCTTTCATCTGAACTCTTTCCTTTCCTATTTTCTTGCCATTAATGATCCATATCGTCGCCGCCTAACCATTCGCCGGCTCAGGGGTCTGACAGCGAAATGGCTGCTTGCAGCTTCTGTTTCGCCTCCATCAACGCTACACCATCAACCAATCCCATTTCTTCCTTTTCGTCTCCTTCACACCCTATTCCTCAATTACGCATCACAAATGCGCCTTCAATTTCGAAGCCCACTGCTCTCCATTTGGATCATATCCAACTTCGACCTAGACCTAGGCACAGGAGGGCTTCGCAGAGATGCACTCCCAGCAGATTAGCTTCGCAAAAAAACACTCCCAGTTTCCTGGTATGTGAGTACAGGGACAGAATCGAGTAATCTGTTCATTGATTTTGTGGGAATCAGATTTATTATTTGGTTTTTTGATACTGCCTGAGATTTTGTAACGAAAAAGGTTGCGGCATCGGCTAACAAGGCGGAACCCTTGAGGATTGTGATTTCGGGTGCCCCGGCTTCTGGGAAAGGCACCCAATGTGAGCTCATCTCTAAGAAAGTAAAGTACATATTTTCTCTCTTCACTCGCTTGTAATTCCGATTGTTTCCACTCAAAAATATGTGGTGTCCAGTTGTATCTTTACACACTTTGTTTGATATACTACATCAAAATGACACATCTAATTTCCTTTGCTTCTTCTTTCTTATTTTCTATGAAATGTTGGGTATTAAGTGCAGGATCGAACAGAAACACCTATGTTTTCTCTGTTTTTTTTATAGAGTTAAGTTGTGTGCATCTTGATATCCAAACCCCAACGGAGTTGGTATTATATTGGGTTTTGCTGTTTGTTGTTTCTCTTTAAGAGATGTTTATTTTGTTACAGGTTAGATTTAAGCTGACTAAAATGTTTCAATGATCATTAGTTTGTAGTTTTTATTAAGGTAAAGGCTCAATCTTTAATCCACCACTATAGGTGCTATAATCCTGAAAACTTGCCTTAACATGATTGCCCTTTATTACCTGCTGTCCATGCAGTATGATTTGGTGCACATTTCTGCTGGAGATTTGCTACGTGCCGAGATTTCTGCAGGGACTGCAAATGGGACGCGAGCAAAGGAATACATGGAGAAAGGGCAATTGGTTCCTGATGAAGTTGTTGTAATGGTACATTCATTACATCTCACATACTATTCTTGATTTTTTTTCCCAATTCTTATTGTTGTGGTTATAGTAGATAGACAATATAATGTCGTGAAAAATTTATGGCTCTCCTTTTTAAACAGATGGTCAAAGAGCGTCTCATGCAACCAGATTCTCAAGAGAAGGGTTGGCTCTTGGATGGATACCCTCGCAGCTTATCTCAAGCGACAGCTCTTAAAGAATTTGGTTTCCAACCAGACCTCTTCATTGTTTTGGAAGTGAGGTTCTACCAATAATTGCTACCATTCGTTTGCTTTATAATGAAATTAACAATCACATCACATATGATTCAAAATGTGATGTGATTTTTCTGTTGTATCATATGCATTTTTATAAATAGGAAATGCAAAATTTTATCACCTGATGAAAGTTAAGCTTTCATCTGGAGATCATTAGCATGGACTTGGTGTGTAAATATTGGTTGCATTTTTAGGTTCAAGAACAAGTTCTTGTTGAGAGAGTGATAGGGCGCAGGTTGGACCAAGTGACTGGGAAGATATACCATTTGAAGTATGCTCCACCAGAAACTGATGAGATTGCTGCAAGGCTTACTCAAAGATTTGATGACACAGAAGAGAAGGTTTGTTTAGATTGCACATGTGTTCGAGATTGTCTTCAAAGATTCTCTAATTCAAGTACGTAATTGCCTTTTTTTCCAATTTATTTTCTCAGGTGAAGTTGCGTTTGCAGACTCACAATGAGAATGTTAATGCCGTACTTTCAATGTATGAAGATATTTGTTTCAAGGTATGATTCCCTACTTTTTACTACGATGACATTCAATTAAAGAGAACCAGGAGCACTTTTTCAACTGAATTACTAAGGACTGGAATAATGTTGTTTAATGCTCTCCAAGCCAAGTTTCGAACTGCAGTCAAAGTGTGAACTTTCCACAATTTGCGCCTCAAAGTTGTTGATGCCTCATTACCGGAAGATTTAGCTCCCACATTAGACTCTTATAAGCGCTTTTTACAGTATAGCCGCCTGAATTATCATAGGCCCAAAACAAAACATTCCACTAACTGCCTGTGTAAGAGGAATAGCCTCGATAAGCCGCCTGTCTCTGAGTTTTAAAGAGGCTGTGAATTTTCAGCCAGTCCCAAATTCCAATATCAATGAGATCAGTGACCCTTTGAATGTCATGCCAATTAAGAACCCCATTTAAATTTTCAACACTTTTTGTATTGAAGAAGAAAGAAAAGTAGATATTTCGTATTGTAGGTGTCCTTTATTTGGATTGTGTATATTTGGAGGCCTATTGCCTCATTAATTAGCCTGCCTGAGATAAGGTTACCACCCAACATTTGCAACAGTGGCTTTAGATCTAGAGGTAAAGAGTTCAAAGGCTTCCCCAACATCTGCAACAATGACGTTAGGTCCATTTGCAATTGTGACAGTGATACCATGAGTCTGCTTAGTAATGAGAAAAGGTTTATATGACCAGCACTATGATCTGAAGCACTTATAGTACAAACTAAATATTTTGGAGAAACAGGTGAAGGTGAGGTGTGCTCTAAAAGCTATTGGTAAGAACAATAATTTCTCTAAACAGCTTTGAGTATTCTGCTTGCCAGAGTTCAATGCCAGTGGCAGTAGTCAAACGTGGCATATTGTGACACAAATTGTGCATCCTAAAAAATGAGGAGCTTTATTGTTGAAGTCAGTATGAGGAAAATTTATTTCAATTGGATAAAGATCAAATATAATACTTCAGAAATTTTGTCACCTGAAAAAGAGCAAGTATTTGGTGTGAACAGTGATATAAGAGCCTCATCAGAAGATGATAAATGTGTGTGAATAAGTGGGTTGCTATGCCGGAGCTGTTCACGCGTGCGGGCTATGTAGTGGTTATGTGTTTTGGTGAGTGGTATCACCTGAGCGATCATGGTGGAAAGTGGTGTTGTTTGTGGTTGGGCTTGACAGAAAAGATTTTGATTGAGTGACTAGTGCTCATTGTTTGTCACCTGATTGAGAGGAACTGCTTGTGCAATTTTACATAATTACTCCCATAATTGTGCAATTTTACATAACTACTCCCAGATTCAATAATTGACATCGATACTCTGAGAATTTTAATGTTTTATATCAGTGCTCTAGTGACACCGATATAAATATATACCCCGCATCATTTTTGGGAGCACTGAAGTAAATGTAGTAGCAGTGTTACTTATTAAAATCTGAGAGTAATTAATGTAAAATCGCGCAATTATGAGAGTAATGATGTGAATTTTTTCTTTTGTTTAAGATACAAAATGTTGCATTGCATTAAAGCTAGTACACACTGTTAATATCTATTCAGAAGCAGTACGTCAAATGAGTTGTAAAACGTTACTCCTTACCTCTTTAACAAGCGTAATCTTATTTCCCATATGAACTAATATGATTATAATGTATTGATAATAGGTGGATGGAAGTGCTTCCAAGGCAGAGGTTTTTGATGTTTTAGATAACGCATTGACAAAGCTCCTCCAACAAAAGCAATCAAAATTGGGACCTGTGGCTGCTGTGCATAAATAAAGCAGACATTATAATAGGGAGGGAATTCAAGTATAGATGGCGAAGATGTTTCCCGGGAAAAAAAGCTATTCGGACTTCAATGAGAAGAAGAGGGAAGTGAGTACACATATTAATGTTGCGAAATTCTTATGTACTATTTCTGAAACTTCATTCAAGGATAATACTTCGGTTTAAAATATTCGGATGATCCTCTCTTTAAAAAAGGGGTCCAGAAACATGCAATAGTAGTTGTTTGTGTGTTGCTTATAATTTCAAATGGCAAAGGCCGTTGGCGAGCCATGCTGGCAACCTACAGCGTGCAGGTTCAAATCCCAACCAGTTGAGGTACATCCAACACTTCCACCAATTTTGTATTGGCATCAATGTTAAAGGTTTGTGTTAGCATTTTAAAAAGGCTATCTGACGGAAGGAAGCCTTTAGCGTTAGCGTTTTTAGAATTTATTTATACCATTAAAATTTTTCTCCAAAACACTAACGTTAATAAAAACCCTATTCCCAAACAAGGCCTATATCTCTAGGATTCTACCTCGGCCTTTTCTCCTCGCAAAACTAGAGTGAGGATTAGACAAAAACCGAAATGGATTACCCGAACTGAATGATCCAAAAAGTGAAGATTCAATTTATAACGGAATAATCGAAATGTTCCAAACTGAACTGAAACCAAACTAAATATATCTACACACGAATTAAATTCAAAATCGATTAGATCTGAAACCGATTAGATTTGAACCCGTTTACATCTAAAATCAATAAGACTCGAAACCAATTATATTTGAAATAGATTTTCCTCGGGAATAGATATATTCTCTCTGTTTCTAAAAGATTGTCTCATTTTGACTTTTTTAGTTAAACTGTGGCATCATTTGATCACGAATTAAATATAGTTTAAAATAAATAAATATTACTCCAGAATATAACTTCTAATATTTCAAAGCTATATTTTAAAATATAACCAATTTCAGTAAATTTATACTCTCTCCGTCCAAGAATAATGCTCATGTTGTGCGTTACGATGTTTAACTGAAGTTATTTTCAAATTATTGTATACGAAAAATCATATGCAATTAAAAAATAAAAATTACATATTTAAAAACTCCATAAAAAGATCTACAAAATTTGAGGGGACATTGCTATATTATTTTATCAAATGATCAACGAAAATACATCTACAAAGTAAATAAAATTTGATCATGTGAATAGTAAACGAGAACATTATTGTTGGACGGAGGGATATTATAACTTAAACGGTGTTAATCTTTTACGAACGGAGGGAGTATTATACTCCCTCCATCCTAAAACCACCTTCCCGGTTTGACCGGAGGTGGTTTTTAAGGGAGTGTAAAAATTGAGTTGACTTTCCCAAAATGCCCCCAAAATCCTTCTTTCCCCTCTTAACGCTGGATCCAGACTTGCCTACTGGGAACAAAAATCACTGGCCTTCTTTCACGGAGGCATGGTTCTAAAACAAAATAAAAATGAATTAGGTTCTAAATTAAAACAAAATTTACGGAGGCATGAATCAACATTAGGTTCTAAAACAAAATAAAAAATAAAATAGGAGCTAAACAAATTTAAATAAAATGAATTACGGAGTATGAAATTGGTCCTTGCAACTGAACGAAAAATCAGAAAAAAACCATGTACAAAAAGGAAAAGGAAGAGCCATGTACCAGAAGGCGGATTTGCTTCCTCTTCAAGTGCATTGAGCAATTAAGTGCCTTATTGCAGCAATAGCATCGCCCTAATGCTCTCGCAGTGTCCAATTGCTTCGTCTCCAAACTCAATTTTTTCTTCAAACAAAAGATTAGATCTCTATTTCAAGGAAGAGAAATGATAAGATCTAGATATAAAGATAGAGAGAAGGGGGGAGAGCCGAAGAGAGACGAAGAAGGTTAAGTTTAGATTTAGATAGGGAGGGAAGAGAGACGGAGATGGAGATATTGCGACGAAGGTGAGGGATGAAAGACGAAGATAATGTGTGGTAAGAGGGAAAGATGAGAAGCAGGTTAGGTTGAGAGAGGGGTAAAATAGTCTATTCAGGCTCTTTTTTAAGAAGTGGGAAGATAGTTTTAGGACGGAGAAAAAAGGGAAGTGGGAAGATAGTTTTAGGACGGAGGGAGTATTTATGTACATTGGTGAATAATAGGGCTGAACAAATACCAAACTGATCCTGATATTTCTTGTAACACCCCAATCCACATAACTCGAATACAAGGATTAACAAATTGGGTTGCTACTAAATTGATATCCAAATACAACTCATTTTCAAAACAACTCAAATAAGTACTTCAAAATATAATTTAACACGGAGTAATAATCAAAACATTTGCGGAAGCTTAATTCATTGTTAGAACATAATTTGAGAATCAAGCCCGTAAAACTAATAAGACATTTAATGGATAAATAATAAATCAAAATCATCAAAACGGCCACGCACATCTCCTCATCTTCATCGCCTTCCGGGATTAGTTCCAAGTTCATACTTATCTGGATTACATACGTGCAGCAAAAGAACAAATGCAACACGCTCAGTATTGAAGCTAAGTGAGAAATATCTAACATACAGTCATACACATAGATGACTTCACTAGCCCACATCATCATACGATATCATGCACATAAAACATTCATAACAATATCACAAGTCATAAGAAATAAACACACAATAATATGAATGATAAATATTCTTTACCAATTCCATTTGTTTTCTTTCCTTATACATGGCTTATAACCTATACTAAGTTAAAGCTTAACTGATCTTAACTTGCGTATGGGAGTCATTACCTTCCCTTTCGAAACAATGGTCAAGGTCAAAACCAACTCGGGAGTTCTTCATTGGAAGGGTGAGATCCCTGTCCCCTTAAGAACGTGAGTTCATAGATCCCAGTGCGCACGCTTTACCCGGATAGCCATTAGACCCAACAGGTACCACATGGCTCTAACCTACTGTACTTATGGCATACCATGCCACTAATCTATTCAGGTCATTCCTAGAGTTCGGTATGTTCAACAGTTATTAACATTTCATAATACAAAATTCGTAAATCAACAATGCATTAATGAGACATATCCAGCATGATCATATACCGGCCTAACACTGAGTGTAAACACCCATATTTACCGTCATGCAACACATAAAGTCTCAGAATCAATCCTTAACGGAAACACACACCAACCGACCCAAACTCCGGTATCTGACGGGCAGACGATAATTGTCACGATACTGGGTACCATTTTCACGGTAGTTGGGTATCATCCCTACAGTACTAGGGTACCGGCCCAACGGTACTAAGGTACCGTCTAAAATAGTTGAACCCTTCTGATATGTCTTTCACAGTAGCTGACTACCGACCCAGCGGTAGGGCCTACCATTCATCTGGTACCTAGGTACCGAACGGCCACAATTATCGACAGAGAAGAACGGAACAAGTAGAGGGTGGCGATAGCACGGCACTGCCCAGCGATACGGTCCTACCGTCTGACGCGATAAGTACAGGTTCTGCACCAGTTCCGTTTTCCAGCATCAAACCAACATTAATTTCATATTAATAGGCATCAACACGTTCATAATAACATTCCAAACATTATCTAACATCATTATGATCTTACCCATACCGATTATTGTTTTCTAAGCACAAAACGACATAAATAATGTACAATTCACATAGGGTTTCACATAACTCAGTTGTAACGATTCTACGAACGTAATATTCAAACCTACGGATATAATTATACATTGATGTCCACGTATTCACTTCAATTACAACAATTAGAATTACGAGATAAAACCAACGGACAGAAACGTGACGATGCGGCTTCCTTCTTCTTCCTTCTTTTTCTTCTTTTTTCTTCTTTTCTTCGATGCTGCTGCTGCATTCCTCGCCACAATTTCTGGTCCTTCAGCTCTGTTCTTCCGGTCGAGTTCGAGAAACGAGAGAGAGTGTGTGTGAGATTTTGGAGCGCAGCTAATGGGTTTTTCTCGTACATGGGGTGATATGTATATGTTTGGGGTTTTGGGCTCTGTAATTAATTAACGTACCTGGTCCAAAACGTTCCTCCCAAGCCCACGAGCTCCAAATCTAAATTTGTTTGCATCGTTGTATTCATTTTGTCGAACCCTAAATAGTATGAACCTTTTTATCAAACGAATCATATTTCACAGTTACACCGAGTACGTCTCAGTAATTAAATAATTATTTTTAAATAATTAATCTTGATATGCCGAGTTTTGAGGTGTAACATTTCTCTCCCCCTTAAAATAATTTTGTCCTCGAAATTACCCGAGTCATTGGTCACTGAAGAGTTGAGGATACTAAGCTTGCATGGACCCCTCAGTCTTTGAATTTACTTCTTCCATGGCGTGGTTTCGCCAAAGCACCTTGACCAAAGGAACTGTCTTATTCCTAAGTTCTTTTACTTCACGCGCTAGGATTTGTATGAAATCTTCTTAATAGGTGAGGTTCTCGTCGAGTGTAACTGCTCCCTCGGGTAAGACATGTGATGTATCTGATCGGTATCTTCTAAGCATGGATACGTGGAACACGTCGTGTATCTTCTGTAGCTCTAGAGGTAACTCCAACCGGTAAGCCACTGGTCATACTCGTTCAATGACTGAGTATGGTCCAATGCACCTAGGACTTAGCTTGCCTTTCTTACCAAATCTCAAAACCTTTTTCCATGGGGAAACTTTGAGGAATACCCAATCGTCGACATTATATTCAATTTCCCTACGCTTGAGGTCGTCGTAGGACTTTTGGCGGTCTGAAGTAACTTGCAGTCTGTCGCATATCATCCGAACTACTTTCTCTTCTTCTTCGGGAATAAGACCAGGTCCCTCAAGTTTGGGCTCGCTCAACTCGTTCTAACAGACCGGGGTTCTTTAGCATCTCATACGGAGCCATTTGGATACTAGCCTGGTAACTGTTGTTGTATGCAAATTCTATCAATGGTAGGTATCGCTCCCAACCCTCTCCAAAGTCAATGACGCGGGCTCTCATCATGTCTTCCTATATCTGAACCGTTATCTCAAAGTGACCATCTGTCTGAGGGTAAAACGCAGTACTTAAATTAAGTTTGGTTCCAAGAGCCTTCTGAAGACTCTTCCAGGCTTGAGATGTCGTAAATCCCGAGTCACGATCTGAGATGATGGATACTGGCACTCCATGAAGCCTAACAATTTCGAGGATATAAAATTTAGCTAACTCTTTCAAGGAAAAATCTCTTCTGATTGGAAGAAAGTGCGCTGACTTAGTAAGTCTGTCCACAATGACCCAAACGATGTCGTTCTTCTTGTTTGACAAGGGTAAGCCTATCACAAAGTTCATCGTGATCCTCTACCATTTCCACTCAGGGATGACTAGAAAACGTATCAATCCACTCGGCACCTGATGCTTCGCCTTGACTTGCTGACAAGTCAAACATCTAGATGTAAATCCAGAGAGTTCTTGTTTCATAGTCAGCCACCAGTATGTTTTCTTGATATTTTGATACATCTTATTGCTACATGGGTGCATGGTGTACACGGTTTCATGAGCTTCTCGTAGCATACGTTCTCTCACTCCGCCGTCAAGAACAACCAGGCAATCCTTATAGAACAAACTACCATTACCATCAATAATGAAGTCTTGTCTGTCCCCCTTAAAGACAAGCTCGCAAGTCTTCACACAAAAGCCATTTATTGACTGAGCCACATGGATCTCGCTGTCTAAAGTAGGTTGAAGTCGCAACTCAGCCATAGTCTTTCGACTTGAGGCATCAGCCACCAGAACGGCCTTGCCAGGGTGATAGTCGATATAGCAGTCGTAGTCGTTGATTAGTTCTAACGATCTTATTTGCCTTAAGTTCAGCTCCTTCTGAGTTAGTAAATACTTCAAACTCTTGTGATTGGTGTGGTTGTAGGTGGTCTTGCCAAATAGGTAATGTCTCCAAATCTTCAATTCAATTACCACTGTCACTAACTTCAAGTCGTGCGTAGGGTAGTTACCTTTATGAGGTTTCAACTGTCGGGAGGCGTATGCTACTACCTTACCCTCCTGCATGAGCACACAACCATACCTTTAGATAATACTTCTATGCATATAACTATATTACTCCATCCATCCCAAAATCTTTTTTACATTTGACTTTTCTTAATCAAATTTTACCTACTTTGATCGTGATTTTTGAAAAATAATAAATCTCGCTCTTACTCTTATATAATTGGGTGTATTTTAGGATATAATTTAGATATATCAAATTTTTTTATCATTTATTTATGTAATTTATTTATGTATAGATATAGTAATTACTAGAGTAAGACTCAAAATGTTGCCATAGTGACAGAGAAAAGTCAAAATCTAAAAGAAATTTTGAGATAGAAAGAGTAGTGTATTAACTATTAAGGGGGAAAATAATCACTTGATCTGACAAAAAACTTGCCGTTGAGAAAGAAGGGGGAGTCTGAGAGAAAGAAAAGGGAGTGATTGGGTGAGGGGCATTTAGGATAGTTTGTGCGTTAAAAATTGAAATGTAATGTTTATTTCTGGACGGAAAAAAATGAGAAACGAGAACTTTATTTCCGGAGAGAGGGGTTAGTGATTAAAAAGTGATTGTGTGTTTACAAAGTAGAAGGAAATAGAGGAATCATTCAAAATTGGAGGTGGGGTATTAGCTTGATGAAAATTTTCACTTTTTTTGATATTTTTCTCAAAGGATGTCAAAATCAAACGAGAAATTTTTTACGAGACAGAAGCTGTAGTATACTCTCTTTGTCGCACTATAATTGTCTCAATTTTTCATTTATTTTTAAATTAAATCGCAAACCAAGTCATAATTATTCACTTTATTTATACTCCAGGCATTTCTGAAGACATGTTTGCTAAGCAAAAGAGATATAAGTGCAACAAAATTTTAATAGATTTCACATTTGATATCTCCAAATCATCACTAATGAGAGTGTTTGGAAAATGGGCACTAATATCCCTCATCGCCAGAAAAAATGAAGTGAGAAGGGTGCGTGCGGCATATTTTGAATACATGAGAACTATATATGTGTGTGTCTATATATATATATATATATATATAGACACACACTTACACACTGACACATCCATAGTTATTACTAAATTAATGGAGATATTGATGCTCATTTTTCAAACTACAAAAGCACCGAAGCTATCTGACCTAAATTTACCCATGTGAAGGTAAAAAAGGTACTCCGTAAAAGACACCAAAAAATATATAATGAAACAAGGGATGTCTGAGCCAGACAGAAAATATATTACTACAGAACATTCTTAACAACAATTCTTTTGCCATGGTATCACTACAAGTTACACAATAATACAAATATATTTGTTAATACTCATATGCTTACAAGCCACATATTGGCTCAAATTGAGACTACAATAAGATGGGTACAGAGCTAAGCAACACACAATTAACTTTACTTTTCTATGGTAAGTGTTTCAGAGCAGACATAATAAAAAACAAAAATAGACTGCCAGCTAAGCAAAGGATCAACCTGGCAAAGTGCATTTCTTCTGAGAATGGCCTAACATATGGCAGCGGCCGCACTGAACTACTCGCTTGGGGCGTTTCAGGGTTTCCAAACGGAGGACCTTCTTTTTAGGCCTGCCGGGTGGCCTCCGCGTTTTGGGTGGCCCAATAGTTACCTCAACTTTGGCACTCCCGCCCTCGCCATCTTCACTCCACATGCTTCTGTCAGGGATAGGAAATATCATCTGAGAATAGGTCTCGCGATAGCTGTGAACAGTGAAGCACGGCTCTGCAAAGACATGAGGGTTCTGTCCACAAGAGATGAGTGCAGCAGTGGCATGTGCACATGGGATGCCATACAGTTGCCAACGGCGACATGAACACACTCTGCTACGTATGTCCACAATGTTCGTCCTCTCCGTGGAAACAATCTCAAATTCAATCTCATTCGCACGAAGGACTTTATAGCAACGGGCATCGGCTATGGCTTCTAGAATGCGCTTCTCTGCGGATGGCACAAGAATTGAATTCCATCTCATCCCCTTGTTACGCCGTTCGCCAAACCATGACACCATTTGCTGCCTGATGTATTCCATAATCTGCACTATAGGGAGCTCGTGACACACCAGTGCCCAGTTATACAACACCTCCGTCACTCCTAATGAGAAATGACCGTATCGTACCCCCTCAAAGAATGCCACAGCCCAAAGTTGGGGGTTGAAATGATGAAACCAAGCGAGGACGTCTTGTGAAATCTCGACCATCTCCGTCACCTTGCTCTCGAATTCAGCAGCTGTGAGTGCATAAACAGCGTTCCAGAATATATTGACCAACTTTGAGTTCTTGAACGTGTCCCTGAAATTCTCGCTGATGTAACGGAGGCAGAAACCATGAAATGCGCTTGGGAAATGAGTGCCCACTGCCTCTACCAAACCAACCGTTCTCTCAGATAGTATCGTAAGCCTGGGCATGCTCTCTGTGTTTACACCAAGAAGCTTCCGAAGCTCAGACATAAACCACATCCAATTCTCATCACTTTCTACATCAACAACAGCAATTGCCAATGGGAACAATGCATCATCAGCATCAACGGCTGCGGCACACAGCAATGTACCTAAATACTTCCCTTTCAGATGTGCTCTGTCAAGTTCCAAAAGGGGACGACAAGCATTGATAAACCCATAGATTGCCGCTCTATATGAGATGAAAAGCCGCTGGAAGCTATTATCGTGACCTGTAACAAAAACTGAGGCGATGCTCCCAGGATTTGTCTTCCTTACTTGTTCGCAATATGGTGGGAGAAGCCTATAACCTTCTTCAAAGGTGCCGTGTAAAGCAGCCATGCTACGCTCCTTCCCTCTCCATGCTTGCATGTACGACACAGCAACACCATGTTGGTTTCTAATGTCTTGCAAAATCTCGTTCGGTTTGTACTGTGGGTTGTCCCTCACACGCGCTTCAACTGACCTTGCAACCCAACCAACCGAAGCCTGTTGATGGTGAAGATCATGGACCCCTTCGCACGTGTGCTCACTATGAAGGGTCCGGACAGTGAATGTTTCAACTCCTGGACACTTTGCCACATGGACGCGCCACGGACACCCCTCTTTTGAGCACTTGGCTATAAACCTACTCCTATCTGACTTCACTATTCTCATTTCAAAATGTGACGCTATCGCTATGTCCTTCAAAGCCCTTCTACACGTATTCACATCTGGAAATTCTTGTCCGATACTTAATGGCTGCTCCATCATTGAACCATTTGAATCGGTAGGTACCACCATTTCCAAGATATGGTCTTCATCAAAACCAGATACTGTTAGACTCCCCTCCTCTGTAACTGCTATTGGTAACAATGGCTGATCACCCATAATCACCATATACAATTATAGACAGGCACTAAATCTATTCATTTGAAGGCAACACATCCATCAATTTCCCGGTGAGCAAAAAAGCAATCCTTGAAGTTTCAAGAGATCAAAACAGGTATCTACAGAACAGGAAAACATAGAAATGAGTATGATTTTAAAAGCCAGAAATTCTACGACAAAACATCCATTGCCCACTTCTCACAAACATAAACACAAAGACAAATAAGCATGCATGTAGAAACATTGGTAAAGAACCGAATTGAATGTAGCCCAGTTGATTTAAAACCAGTCCAAAGCAAAATTGAGCTTACCAACACAAAATCTAGTCCCGAATTCGGCTCAATCCAGTTTTGAAGAAAGATCCACAGACTAAAAATGGGGAGCGATTGTAGCTGAACTAAAACAAGATTTTGCAGTATTATTCGGCAAAATTGGTGCTCCGGGAGAAAAAGGATAAAGCCTGTGAGGACTGAGGGACGGGGAGCATTGCAGGGTGGCACAATTTCACGGATGTAAATATGGCGATTGTGAGGGGCAATGAGGAAACCCTAGAGGGAGACTGGAGGAAGGTCGCGCTACAATGCTATCCTGTTAAGGTGAATATTGAAGGATGAAATGGAGATAACGCCGTACAATTTTAAAAAGGGATTAGGCAATGACTATTCTAGCCTTTCCTATTCTAGCAATGTAGCCTTCTTGTTTGGGAATTTTTAATATTATATCTATCTTAAAATTATTTTCTAGATCATTATCCACCTTGTTATTCTATTTTCCTTGTATATTTAGTAAAATAAAATAGTTATGTCATCTCTAATTTCGAAGATTTTTTGATATAATTTTTAAATATGTACTCCCTCCGTCCCTGAGTGTTTGTCCACTTTCATTTTTGCACACCATCCAAAGCACTTCTTTAATCCATTTTATCTTGTAATTTGTATATTAAAAAGTTATAAAAATTATATATTAATAATCTATATGTTAAGACGAATCAAACAAGATCACACATTACTATTTTTAGACTTACACATTGAGAGAATTTGATGAGTCAAAGTGCTTAGATGAACAATTCCAAAAGTCAAAAGTGGACAAACACTCAAGGACGGACCAAGTACTTTTTATTTTTAATTTTACATTTCCGCACTAATTGTCCAATAAATTAAATTAAAAATAACTTCAGTAAACATCATAAAATGCAACAAGAATTTAATTTTAGTACGGAGGGAGTAATATGAAGTCACTGTGAATAAATATTTATTAAGCAATACAAATATTATTGATTTGTTGGGATAATGATATACTAAGTACTAACCTATCCCGGCCCGTATATGAAGCTATGCGTAGTGTCTCACCATTGCTCAGTCAAAATCTGCATCCACTCAGCGTCACATCGATATTGATTGTACTCACCATCGCACTCACTTCACACTTATAGTGTCTCACCACCACTGCAATGATTACACTTTTATTTTTTAATAAATAATTACCTATCTCCATTCAAATTAAATTCTATCTTTTATAAAATAAAAATATTAATTAATAAATAATTATTTTTGAGTTTATTCAATTTTATTTCTTTATTAAATTTTTTCTCGATTTGGAATAAATATTTTTATTTACGGTTTTTTATTTACTTCACCATTAAATACACATAAAAAACAATTAATTTAAAAACTCATAAATTACATGAATTAAAAAAAGTGCACGAGATACATAAATAAAAAATCATGAAGTACATGAAAAAGAGGAAATATGTTAAAAAAATGAGTAAATTCCATAAAAGGTCCCTAGTTATAGGTTGTTTTACATATTTAGTCCCTACACATCAAATATTAGTAATTTAGTCCCCAATTATTATATTCATTTCCACAAATGGTCCTTTGTTAACATTTCCATTAAGAACGTGGATAAAATTATAAATTCACACTCTCCTCAATTAAGCTTCCTTCCTTGCCTCGCACTCCTTTCCCAAATCCGTCACTGAGTTTGAAGCTTTGAACCCAAAACAGAAATCATCACTCTTCTCTCAATTATTTGTCTAACTAGTGGAACCCAAATTCAAAACCAGTATCCTTCATGGATGGGTTTAATGCTTATTTTTTGCAATTTTTTGAAACTAACTGATAAAACTCATCCATAGTTATTATTGATTTTGATTTTAGGTTCCACCAGGAAGATTAATAATTGAGAAAGGAATGATCATTTCAGTTTTGGGTTTAGAGCTTCAAACTCAGCGACAAGTTTGGGAAAGAGTACGAGAGGAGTGAGGAAGCTTAATTGATTAGAGAAGAAGGTGGGGAGGGGGTTTGAAATTTGAATTTTGAATTTTAAAAACAATTTTTTTCTACTTTTATGAAAGAAGTATTGAGGGAGGGGGAAACCAAAAAAATGAAAGGCAGCGACCAGCGTGATCGTGGCTGCAAGAGCCACTCACGCGAATGGGGGGATCCGGCGTGTTTCGCGTGATCACGCGGTAACGTGGTAGTGCCACGGCAGATCAAGTAAGAGAGGGGTGGGGCATTATAAGTAGCCTGTCTTGATAGTGTTTAGAGTTGAGAGGAATTACTGGGAGAAGTGGAAGCGATAAGTGAAAAGTGAAAAGTATAAATTCCAACTTTGTAAAAATACATTTTTGGAGTCCATTTTGCATATATGAAGCTATGAACTATAAAAAAATAAATAGAATTCCAAATATTACATGTTTTGAGGGTCTTTAAAGTAAAATATTTCTGTCAATTGAACTTTTTTTATGCTAGTTAAGTCTAACCCTAGGTATGTATCTGACTTTTGTTCTATGTCAAAGTCTCATTAATTACCCTTTTATGCTCCACTTCTATTACTACTCCACCTTTTCAATTAATACATTGTGATATTTGGAGTCCTACTTTGGTATCCTCTTTTTGCGGAAATCTCTTTTGTATTAATTTTGTTGGTCATGTGCGCATCAATTGTCCTATAGCGGAGGCTATCTTGGCCAAGCCACACTTGAATATGGTGGGCACTTGTGTGTGCCGAATGCACTATAAGGCTAGGGTATGCAATTCTTCTAACACCAATTGGTTTTGGAAGAGACCGGTTGTAGCACGTGAGTTCCTACAAGTGGTATCAAAGCCAAGGTCACGAGTTCGATTCCTAGCGGAAGCAATTGCTGAGAGGTGTTAGAATAAATGCCCAACACTAGAGGGGGGGTGAATAGCGTTTAAAAAAAATCGCAGGAAATTAAAAACGAGAGCGTTAAAGTAAAGAGCGTAAGGAAAGAGCACACCGAATTTTATCCTGGTTCACCACAACGTGTGGCTAATCCAGCCTCCCGAGAGACTCTCTCGAGCTACACTAACTCCGTTAAGCTTAAGGGTGCTTAACAAACCGATACAACTTGAGAACCCGAGTCACACGAGCCTCAACACCTTTGCTCAGAGATACCGCACTCCAAGACTTCTCACGAAGGAACGAAGAACTTCCTTCGAGTTTACAACAAGGGAACAACCTCCCTTAAAGTGTATGAAAACACTTAAACACTCAAGAATAAAACTCTCACAAAGAGTACTAGATATGAGTGAACTAGTAAACGCTTAAGAACACGACAATTTCTTCAAGAATTGGCTCTCAAATAGCTAAGAAAATTAGGAATGTTTATGCAATGAAAGAGTATTGAAATGTTGAAGAATTGTATGTAAAATGAGAGGATTTGGGTGCCATTTTATAGCCCAAAATGGGATAAAACCGTTGCTAGAATTTCCAACAGGATGAAGACAAATTTTTCAGAGACACAGGCTGATAGTCGAATATCCAGGCTTGATAATCGATTATCAAAAGATTCCTTGTCCAAAAATTTAAAATTCTATCCGTTGGAGGACAACGGTAACCCAGATAATCGATTGCCAACAGGTGATAATCGATTATTGGTCCTCTTAGAAGATTCTGGGTTTTGGCTGCAAAGACTGATAATCGATTATTGCATAAGTGATAATCGATTATTGCGTGCTTCAGAACTTTGAAGTTCCAAAGCTGCATGGGCTGATAGTCGATTGTCACTAAGGTGATAATCGATTATCACCCAGCTAAAGTCTAGCCAGCTGAAACCCGTTTTGAAAAACTGAGGTGCAAAAACGAAGTGTTCCCAAAAGTAAAAACCAAGTTTGAAAAACATTGTATATGGTATAAAATAGTGAAACCAAGACTTGTTTGGTAAAAACCAAGTCTTCAAGGTCGTAAATCACGTGTGTACGGTTTTGACCATTTCTCACGTGTTAGACCGATTGACCAAGATACAAAAGTGGTTTTTATGAAATAATTATTTGGGAACCTTTTAAATATGCTCAGAGATAAAAACAAGGATTAAAACATAGAAAAACACCGAGTTGGTTCGGGCGCCAAAAAACCGAACGCCGAACACCGTACGCCGACTTAGGTTATTTAGGTTCTGAGCAAGGACCAGGGATTTTAACCAAAAAAATTTATCAAAAAATGTTTATTTTTATGCACAAAAATATTTTATGATTTTGTAAAATTATTTTGACTCTTTGAGAACCGAGACTTGAATTGATTGTCGGTTTAGATCACAAAAGACCGACTCGACTAAGTCTTCAATTCTTGATCTTGTCCTTGAGTCTTTTGGGTCTTGTTCCATGCCATTCTTCGCGCCTTGAGTTATTCAACGAAACTCTTCATATCCACGGCGGTTTGGCAATTATCAAAACCTGTCAGAAATGAACACGACTTTAGTTTATCGTACAAAGTGTGTTCCAACAATTTCCCCCTTTTTGATAATGGCAAACAAGACGGGGATATGCATAGGGTTTTGATCTTTTTTTAAAAAAAATTCCCCCTTATCTTCCCCCTTTTGACATTAACAAAAAGATTTAATAACAAAAACCATAAAGATTTTTATTAATTAATTAAGGGAAGTGGAGGAGTTCATAACGAAAGTACATAAAAAGATGATAAAATAAGGAAGAGGAGAAAAATAAAGCTAGAGCTCTTAGAAATCCGGGGAAAGATCATTGAGAAGTTGTTCTTCGTCAATGTCTTCTTCTTCATCGTCTCCATCTTCATCACCATCGCCATCATCATCATCATCATCATCGGCTTCTTCTTCCTCTTCTTCTTCTTCTGCTTCTTCTTCTTCAACGTCCACTGCGTCGTCCCTACCAACATTTTGAGTCCCGCTTGGTTTACCTCCGAAATTCGGTGGAGGAACGTAGGGGACCATTTGAGCGTAAGGGTAATTGACAAAGTCAAAATACCCGTGAAGCTCACGGCTCAAAACATCGACGTTGTGTGCCGTTTTGGAGACGTTGGTGTCTATCCGAGACAAGGTAGTGGTCAAAGCTGCCATTTGCTCAGCGAGAGACAGATTGGTTGAAGCGGTGGCAGTCGAGGCAGTAGCTCTCGGTTGGTGACGAGGACGAGGCTGCGGGAACGTAGCTTCATCGGTTCCCGGGTGGAAGGAGGACTCGTCAATCACCCAATGCTTCGTCCCTTTGCATTTCGGCCCGACGTCCGTCTTGATGTGGTACTCATCAAGGATCGCCATGACGAGAAGAGCATAGGGGAGCGGCCGGTTGTCGGAGGTGGCGTTGAACATGTGGATCATCACAAATTTCCACCAATTGATATTGGCGTTGTGAATCATCGCATGGATCGTCTTCGTGTCTTCTTGGGAGAGAGTGGTGTGGTTGAACTTCCTGGGCTTGAGGATCCGTGTCAACACATAGAAGATGAAACGATACACGGGACTCATGGAAGAAATCGTAGGACGCCGCTGTTGAGGAGTGGGGACGAAGTTTCGGATGCCCACTTCCTCCAAGAGGGCGGTCTCGTTGAACCGTGCTCCTTCTTCTCCGACGTAGAGCCCGAGATCCTGTCCATCCCGTCGAAGCTCGGTGAGGATTTGAATGTTCTCCTCATTCAAATAGATCTCCACCCCATTGACGTTGGAAATCAACGACCCGTCCTCATCCTTTTTCAAATTCGAGTAGAAGGCTCGAACAAGAAAAGGGTGGTAGTCGTTCTTCTTGATGTAGAGGAGGTCGAGGAAGCGTCCACTCTCGAGGATGACCCGTGCCTGGCGAGGGATGGCACTGTGGATGAATCGGCCGGTGGAAAACCGGGGAGGAAGAATCTCCCGGTGCTCGAACTTCTTAGAGAACCGTGTCGCCTCTGCGCGGTCGTTGAACCAAAGGAACGACCCGTCGAGATACTTGTGCGCCGGTGGTGGAGGAGCCGAGGAAGAAGCCACGTTCTTGCCGGTGCGGGATCTTTTTCTTTGACCTCCTGCCATTTCAACAAAGTAGAGAGGGAGTATTTGCAGGATTTTTGGCTAAAAATTGAAGAACAATAGCAAGAATTGAAGAAATATGATGAATATTTGAGAGAGGATGATTGGAATGAGTAAAGAATGAAGGGATATCACCAATTTATAGTTGAGAGCTGGAGATCCGTTGGGGAGTTCAAAAGGTGATTTAAATGCATTTCCAACGTCTGTGTAACAATCAGATTTTTGAAAAATCGCCGTTGATAATCGATTTACACTCCCTGTAAATCGATTATCTGAGTCTTCAGATTCTCCGCCAAAAGATCTGCAGACTTCAATAGTCGATTTCCTTGTTTTAGTAAATCGATTGTTGGAGTTTGCTCCTGACTTCAGAGAAAGTTCTGCAGCTCCATATAATCGATTATCATGACTTGAACAATCGATTGTTGAAGTTTCGTGGTTGATTTGCTACAAACTTCTGCGGGCAATGATAGTCGATTATCCCTATGTTGATAATCGATTGTTGGCTCCTGCAGTTTCTTTGCTCCAACTCCTGTGGGTTGTGATAGTCGATTTACACCTAGTTTGAAATCGGTTTACTTTGTTCCCCCCTAACTTTGACACCTGAAAAATAAAAACATTTGGTACCCGTTTGGTCTTTTGGGTCCTAGAGGATTAGTAACACGACTTTTTAAACTAATAAACACACGCACCCATAATTACATACACATTTTACGCAAACACACACACACACACGTACTAACACGCGTGTTTAAGTGTTACCTTGGCCAACTTGTCGTTTTGCGGTTGGCGGGTTCCAGTCTACTCGAACCGAATGTCTATACCTCGGTTTGATTTGTGTGGGTTCTGGAAGTGGTATGTGAATCTTCTTCTTTTCATCATAATAGAAGAAGTAATATGGTTTCTTTTGCGTTGATTCCTGCAGGGATTTGTTAGAAATCGAATATCCTTTTTCAAAGGATTTCATTAGGTTAGTTCCATGCAAAGTGTGTGTTTTGTTATATGTGCAATGCCTATGCCTACTAAAACACACAGGTGCTATATGACCTACCCTATTGCAATAATGACAAATAACATTTGGATTATGCATTCTCCTAGGTTGATAATAGTTGCTAGGTTTTCTAACTTGCCCATTGTTCATCCTAGTGTTCTTTCTAGGTGGTCTAGTGTTCCTAATTGTTCTAGGTTGTCTATTATATTGATTTTCATTATTCCTAAGTTGAGCTTTAGGTTTCCTAGATGGTTGCTCAACTTTTTCTTTATTATTAGTTTCATTTTTAAAGCCTAAGCCATGTTTAGTAAGTTGCAAATTATCAAGAACATCATTAAGGTTTTTATGAGAAACACCAAACTTCTTCAAGGTTCCTTCAAGTTTTGCAACTTGTTCCTTAAGGGATATACAAGAACTACATTTTGAACTTTCCGGTTTGTTGGCGCTTCTTTTCCCGAAAAACTTATTTTCTTCTTTAAGTTTTTCATTATCTTTTGATAGTTTATCAACTTCCTTCTCCATGGAAGTAAGTTGTTTCTTCAAATCCTTGTTAATTTTAGAAGCGTTGACATATTCATCATAAAGTTCATTAAAGGCTTCTTGTACATCATCAAAAGTATATGAATCTTTAGAAGTGGTACATACCTCTTCCGGTGGCTCCTCGTGTGCCATGAGGCAAAGGTTGGCGCTTTCATTTTCTTCGCCTTCTGATGACTCGTTGCGGAGTCACCTCCCCATGAGATGTAAGCTCGGTGCTTCTTGAACATTTTCTTCTTGTTCTTGGTGTTTGGACATTTTGGTTTTATATGCCCAACTTCTCCACACTCGTAGCATTTGGGTGGACCTCCTTGCTTCTTTCCTTTCCGTTCATATTCTTGGCTCATGAACTTATGGAATTTCTTGAGCACGATCCCGAACTCGTCTTCGTCACTCGAGTCTTCCATAGCACGTTCTTGGCTTGTAGATGCCTTGAGGGCAATCCCATTCTTCTTTTGTTCACCTAGAGAGGGGTAAAGAATGGTAGCCTCATAGGTTTTGAGATTACCTCTAAGCCCATCAATGGTGACGTTGGTGATGCCGATAGATTCTTGAATGGCATCAGCTTTGGAGCGCCACTCGGGTGTGAGACTTCGCAGGATTTTTCTCACAAGCTCCTTGTCCGTGTACGTCTTCTTGAGAGCATGGAGATCATTGACGATTTTGGAGAATCGTTCAAACATCTCATCAATTTTCTCATTTTCCTTCATACGAAACAATTCATATTCATGGGTTAGAAAATCTATCTTAGCTTCTCGGACTTGATTCGTACCTTCATATGTGATTTCGAGCTTGTTCCACATATCCTTAGCGGTCGAACAACATGAAATTTTCCGGTAGTCATCCGGATTTACGGCACAGTAAAGAATGTTGATGGCCTTGGCGTTGTTCTCTATTTTCTTGATATCCTGTGCATCATATTCGTCTTCGGTTTTGGGAATGGTGGTTTCCCCAACTTTCTTCATGGCACTTCTTCCCCATTCTTGATAATTCTCCATAGGAGAAAGTTGTTGGATTGGATGAAAATTCTCATCCGCTCCTTCCAATATGTGTAATTCGTTCCATCAAATAATGGAGGTCTCGTGGTGGATAACCCTTCTCCTAAACCTGCGTATAAGTTTTGAGTAGAAGCCATTGATCGTTTCTCTCAAACGGTTAAGTCTTTCAGAGAGTAAGGCTCTGATACCAATTGTTAGAATAAAGGCCCAACGCTAGAGGGGGGGGGGTGAATAGCGTTTAAAAAAAATCACAGGAAATTAAAAACGAGAGCGTTAAAGTAAAGAGCGTAAGGAAAGAGCACACCGAATTTTATCCTGGTTCACCACAACGTGTGGCTAATCCAGCCTCCCGAGAGACTCTCTCGAGCTACACTAACTCCGTTAAGCTTAAGGGTGCTTAACAAACAGATACAACTTGAGAACCCGAGTCACACGAGCCTCAACACCTTTGCTCGGAGATACCGCACTCCAAGACTTCTCACGAAGGAACGAAGAACTTCCTTCGAGTTTACAACAAGGGAACAACCTCCCTTAAAGTGTATGAAAACACTTAAACACTCAAGAATAAAACTCTCACAAAGAGTAGATATGAGTGAACTAGTAAACGCTCAAGAACACGACAATTTCTTCAAGAATTGGCTCTCAAATAGCTAAGAAAATTAGGAATGCTTATGCAATGAAAGAGTATTGAAATGTTGAAGAATTGTATGTAAAATGAGAGGATTTGGGTGCCATTTTATAGCCCAAAATGGGATAAAACCGTTGCTAGAATTTCCAACAGGATGAAGACAAATTTTTCAGAGACACAGGCTGATAGTCGAATATCCAGGCTTGATAATCGATTATCAAAAGATTCCTTGTCCAAAAATTTAAAATTCTATCCGTTGGAGGACAACGGTAACCCAGATAATCGATTGCCAACAGGTGATAATCGATTATTGGTCCTCTTAGAAGATTCTGGGTTTTGGCTGCAAAGATTGATAATCGATTATTGCATAAGTGATAATCGATTATTGCGTGCTTCAGAACTTTGAAGTTCCAAAGCTGCAGGGGCTGATAGTCGATTGTCACTAAGGTGATAATCGATTATCACCCCGCTAAAGTCTAGCCAGCTGAAACCCGTTTTGAAGAACCGAGGTCCAAAAACGAAGTGTTCCCAAAAGTAAAAACCAAGTTTGAAAAACATTGTATATGGTATAAAATAGTGAAACCAAGACTTGTTTGGTAAAAACCAAGTCTTCAAGGTCGTAAATCACGTGTGTACGGTTTTGACCGTTTCTCACGTGTTAGACCGATTGACCAAGATACAAAAGTGGTTTTTATGAAATAATTATTTGGGAACCTTTTAAATATGCTCAGAGATAAAAACAAGGTTTAAAACATAGAAAAACACCGAGTTGGTTTGGGCGCCAAAAAACCGAACGCCGAACACCGTACGCCGACTTAGGTGATTTAGGTTCTGAGCAAGGACCAGGGATTTTAACAAAAAAAATTTATCAAAAAATGTTTATTTTGATGCACAAAAATATTTTATGATTTTGTAAAATTATTTTGACTCTTTGAGAACCGAGACTTGAATTGATTGTCGGTTTAGATCACTAAAGAACAACTCGACTAAGTCTTCAATTCTTGATCTTGTCCTTGAGTCTTTTGGGTCTTGTTCCATGCCATTCTTCGCGCCTTGAGTTATTCAACGAAACTCTTCATATCCACGGCGGTTTGGCAATTATCAAAACCTGTCAGAAATGAACACGACTTTAGTTTATCGTACAAAGTGTGTTCCAACAAGAGGGATATTGTTGACCATGTGTGCATTAATTATCCCGTGGCAGAGGCTATGTGGGCCAAGTCACACTTGAATGTCATGGGTGCTTGTGTGTGCTGAATGCACTAAAAGGCTAGAGTATGCACTTCTTCTAACACAAATTGGTTTTGGAAGAGTTGGTAGCGCCTAAGGTCCTACAAATTTTGTTGATGACTTTACAAAGTACTATTTGGTCTATCCCCTTAAACAAAAAACGGATGCTTTCAGTTTTTTCAAAGTTTCCATTCTATGATTTAAAATAAGTTTGGCATAGAAATTAAAATTTTTCGGACTGATGATGGTCGTGAATATGAGAATCATGAGTTCGAACTATATTTACAAAAGTTGGGGATTCTCCACCATAAATCATATCCTTATACATACATACATACATACATACATATATATATATATATATATATATATATATATATATATATATATATATATATATATATATATATATATATATATATATATATATATATAGGGGCCGGTTCCCGTGAGAATGCACCTTGTGGAGAGAAATGAGAATAAAATCTAGCCGTTGGATCTGATGCATCGTGCGGCTCAGATTGCATCATGCGCTCAGATTTTGAGATAGTGCATTTTCGAAGGTTTATGGTGCATTTCGACGTGATGCATTTTCGCACCATTTTGGTGCATCTAATTTTGATGAAATATTGACCCTTAGATCTCACAATCTAAAGCACCAGATTTATTCTCATTTTTCTTCTAAGATTGCATTCTCACCAGAACCAATATATATATATATATATATATATATATATATATATATATATATGATGGATGATGGGTTTTAGAGAGAGGGAATACTCTGGGGTAGAGATGGCAAAACGGTCGGTCAGGTCGTGTTCGGGTTCGGGTTCGGTCACTTCAAGTTCGGGTTATTTCAGGTTCGGGTCAATTCGGGTTCGGGTTGAGAATAGTATGTTCATGACCCAGTGTCATCGGGTTCGGGTCGACCCAACGGGTTATGACTTTGATTTTTTAAATTTTAAAATTCACATTGACACCTACATTTTCTATTAAATAAATTTAAAATATCAAAAAAGATGTATTAAATTTATTAGATTATTTAAATTTAAATCCTGAAAATATTTTTAGATATAAAAATCAATATAAGAAATTTAAAAAATGCTTAATTTTTAGAAAAAAGTAAGATAATTATGCAATATCTTTAAAATTTTGTCTGAAAATATGAATTTATACATTAAAAATGAGTAGTAAAGTGTATAATTTCGAAAAACTTTTGCTTTAGCGGGTCGGTCAGGTCGGGTTCGGGTTCGGTCAGGTTTGACCTATTTTTAGCTAGTCATATTGGGTTCTGTTGGGTTCTGTCATCAAAACCTATTTTCAGAAGGTCGGGGTTTCGGGTCCTGGTCATTTTTTAAGGCGATCTTGATCGGAGAGGCGATCTTGATCGGAAACCCAACCCGATCTCTCGACGATGGGAATCTCGCCGGGTTGATGGACACCGGACCTCTTACAGACCCCCTTCAACATCTGGACATCATTGGGGTTTCGGTTCTAGAAACCCAATCGAAGATTCGAGGTGGCAGTACCCTTCAACGAAAGGCAGAAAGCGCAGCATCCAGAGCCACATTCAGAGAAGGGGTAAGAGATATGTTATGCAGTGGAGATACCTAAAGGAATCCAGACCGTGTTTTATAAGCAAAAACAAATCCTTCCAATTTCGCATTGAGGATAAGGTATTTCGCTTCTTTCACTCCTTCTACCACAACAATTTTTGCATTTCGGAGTTTGGGCGTAGGGCATTCCATATCTGGTTGAATTTAGCTGAGGTTAAATGGCTGACTAAGGTTCTTCCCACTAGTGCTCTACGAAGCTCTTGGACCTTCTCTAGATATAAGGGAGGAAGGAAGGTGTTAGTATCCTATGGCTTTAATCGATGGGGTTCTTATGTGAAAATCACCGTTACAAAGGATGCTGCTACCAATACTGTCATTATTCCAGTGGATAGGGATAACCCGTTCCTTTTCAGGCGTGCGCTTGACTCCTTCTATGGTAAGATTATAGACTCTAGCACTGATAATTCGCAGGCCAAGGCGGATGTTTCCCATTCTGCCCCTGGAATAACGAGAATGGTAATCTTATTTCCTTGGAGGATCCCATGGCTGAAGATTCTCCTTTAGAGGCTTAAAATACATTGGAGGAAGAACCTGGTTCACCTTTTGAGGCTCAAAGTAATTTGGAGCAAGTCTCTTCAGATAGCTTGGCTTTGGTTGAATCCTTTGCACCTATACAGGCTAATTATCCATTAGTGGAAAATTCTCAAGATGACCACTCCTCTGTTCGTGCTTACCACTCTGACTCTGAAATTTATGTAAAAGAGGACAACATTGCGTTTCTACCTTTCTTCAGAGATCAAGCAGAATTTGACCCTGATCCAGAACCATTTAGAGAGTGGTATCCTGATGACGGTATTGAGCCAGATGATCATCTTCAGCGTTGGGGAGGACCTAAAGGACTTACGGCAGCTTTAATTCGTAATAATGATGAGGGCAGAATTATTTTTGAAAGAGGTTGTGTGTGTGGTTCCAGCCCACCTGCCCCAAGGAGAAGTTTAAGACTTGCAAGGAGAAGACGACTCCCCTCTCCCATTCGATCTGAGTGCTCTATCGACACTGGAGATAATTGGGGGTTTTGACTTCGGTTGCTCGAGTTGGGAGGAGAGGATGATGTTTCATTTCTTCATCTAATTGGGTGCCACATCCAGTCTTGGAATTCTGTTCGCCGGCTGGCACTCTTATATCCTGTCCTTTTCTAATTTTAGCTGTTTTTGGGGTGATGTGCTGGGCTGATTATCCTTATTCCAATGGCTCTTGAGGATAATGTAGCATCCTAGGGTAGCAGTTTGTTTTGTAGGCCTTCTCTGGACAAGGGTAGTTCTAGCTTCTGTTTTGTTTCTTTTCTGGGAAGGGCAAGCGTTTTTTTGGCCTGAGATCTCTGGCATTTTGTTTAATATATATATATATATATATATATATATATGTATATATGTCTATATATATATATGTCTATATATATATATATATATATATATATATATATATATATATATACATACTCCTCTCAAGCCATTCAAGCTTATTCGATGGATCCCTCCCAACCCCTTCCACTTCAAGCTCAACGTTGATGGTAGTGCAAACCCACGGGGTTGCGGCGGTGGAGCTGTTCTAAGGGACCACAAAGGCAACTTTCTTCATGCCTTAGCTTTTCCCTTGCCTAGAACCTCACCGCTATCCACAGAAGCCCTTGCGATGATGCAAGCCCTCCGTTATTACTCCTTCCCAAACATGGTCGTTGAAATCGAGAGCATGGAACTCCTGCACATGTTACGTGATGTCCCGATGTCGAATGCTCTTTTATTCATCAAGGAGAAGATAGAAACTCTCAATCTACGTCTCTCCCACACCCTGAGAGAAGCCAATGGTGCGGCGGACCTCCTAGCTAAACAGGGAGCAAGGATTTCTCAATGTGTTTACTTTGATTGCTTTTCTTCACTACCTAGAGCTATCTCTACTGTAATCTCTTTGGACAAACTTGTCCCCTTTATTCGAGTGCAATAAAAACCTCCCCTCTTTATGTATGTATGTATGTATGTATGTATGTATGTATGTATGTATGTATGTATGTATGTATGTATGTATGTATGTATGTATGTATGTATGTATGTATGTATGTATGT